TTTATCAAGCAAGCGAACACAAAGAACATTATTAATGAGAATATGTTGAGTGTAAGAGGAAGTAGAGAAAGAACAAGAGTGTGTAATTGGTAATGATGACCCATAACCAAGAAGCACATCATCACCTCCGGGGTATGAATTATGAGCGGAAAGATTGCTTAAATCAGATGTCATGTGATGCGAGGCGCCTGAGTCAAGCAGCCATGTTGAAGAATCAGATAGCATTGCAGCATTTTCATGTGCTCTCTATGGCTGAAGTGGTGATTGTTGTTGCCAAGGCTGAGGATAGAACATTTGTTGTTGTTGTTGGGCAAGAGACATGTGTTGTTGTTGCTGAGGATACGGTGGAGCTGAACTAGAGCTTCTGACAATGCGAAATTCTGGACAAAAACGGACATTATGTCCTTGCACTCCACACGTATGTCACCTTTAAGGTATGGTTTAAAAATTAAACTTAGCTTGAGTTGTGATTGTTACCAAAGTGACGATTCTGAGCAGAGTTGTTGTTGGTGCTGTGAATTTGATTGTAGTTTTTGTTGTTTATGTGTTGACTGCAAGGTCTAGCATCCACAGAATTCGCCCACAACCGGTGTTACATCAGACGTTTCGGTGTTGAGAATCATTGCTTCTCTGTTCACCAAGCGTTCATACAGTTCCGCATACGGAATGGGAGTATCTCTCCCATGAATTGCATAAATCTCTGGCATGTAGTTATCACTGAGCCCCACCAGAATTCTCTCAGTCAGATATTCCTGGTCCATCGGTTTTCCCAGAAGCGTAAGATCAGATTTGGATACAGAGATACTCACTGATAGTCTCGGTTCCCTTCGTACATCTATTAATTTGGAGTTTGAGTTGACGGATGTGACCATGAGATGCATTCCCGAATGTGGTGGCAAGTGTGGACCAGATTTCTTTGGTAGTGTTTGCGGTTGAAACAACAGATTGGACCGGAAAAAAATAGCACCGATCGTCAAACTGTGGAGAAGTCGATCTTGATGGTGCCATGGATTTGGAACAGAAACGCCATCAAGAATGATTGTTTGTGATGGCTGCGTGTTTGTATCCTTGGTAAAATATTGAAGCTCATGACCTTCAAGCAAAGCTCTTACTTGTCGGCTCCACATAACGTAGTTGAGCTTGGTAAGTTTCGTTACACTCGACATGTAAACTGAAGTAGTGTACTTTGCGGATCTTGGGTATTGAAAACAGACGTTCGCTCAGCCGTCGATTCAGACATGATGGAGAAACCCTAATTTTCAAGAAGAAAAAAGGGATGAGATATGGAGAAAATAATTAGGATTTTGGAAAAAAAAATGAGGATCTTTACTGCTATGATACCATATTATACTGGTATGAATATATGAATATTATTGACAATGGAGCTCTGTTTATATACAAAGAGAACAGAGTGATGAACAAGTCTAGAATCTACAAAAATTAATAATAATATACAAACGTTAATGAAGACGATGATTTAGGGATTTGGTCAATCCACACAATATGCTTTCCATATTCTATTATTCATGTCCATATTTTTTCTCGGCTACGTTATCTACTCTCCCACATGTTTACCGAATAATTGGAAATAGAAAAAGATAAAACCAGATAATATGTAGTGTAAATGTTAAAAATTACATTATGTCACAATTAGTGACAAATCTATACTATTAAAAGTGAAGACACCCTTGAAAAATCGACTGATGGAAGTTGTGTGCACCCTTATTAATGGTATTTGGTAATTTGTTTTTTGGTCTTACATTTATATATATATATATTTATATATATCAATTGTTACAAATCATATCACATATCAAATATATCCGATTTATTCTCTCTCTTTCCATTAATTACTCTAATCATATTCCATATTATATTTCATACATTTATATTGTCTTATAAATTTATATTACACGGTTTCAATCTATATATTGATTACATAAATATTTATTATAATATAAATTAATTATATGGTGTTCAGATGCTCTCATACTTATAAATGTTTACATATTTATAAAATAAATTGTAATTCTAAATCATAATATATAATTCAATATACTGTATAAGAAAATCAACAAAAATTAATTTATAGATTATCAAATAAAAATATACTAAATTATATTTTAATATATTAATTTAGATATTATATTAAAATTGATTTTTATTCTTTTAATATATATTTAATATTTTGCATTAATAAATTGAAGTATGTTGTAAACTCTATGAATATATGTTGTCATGAATATGTAATTCTTTTAATTTATAGTTTATAAAATAATTTTAATTAAGTTATTATATTATTTATTGTAGTAATTTAATTATGAATATGAATAATGTATTTATAAATATTATAGTAATGGTATTTCTTATTTAATAAATCCAAATGAATTAAAATTAATTGTAATATTATTTAAAAGTAATTACATTCTATTATTTAAAATAAATATTAAAACAATAAATATTTATATTTTACTGAAAAATATTTTAAAAGATATTGTCAAAATGCAATATTAGAAAAGATCTTGGTAATATCTTTGATATCTGATTTTGAAAATATTTAAATAATATATTAAGATTGTTATTGAATAATAACTAAATTTATTATATGCAAGATAATTTCAAATATTTTTGTATTAACTTTTCTTCATATGTCGATATATCATCATTCTCATGGTGACATTTAATGGATGAGATACGTTTTATTAAGAAAATATTGCAAAAACTATTTTCTATAATTATCTTCGTACTAAAATAAATGAATTGTTTCATCTACATGTTTATAAATTAAACACAACCAATATCGTGGTTAGTTATTCTTTGTTTGGATTCCATAAATTTCGGCAACTTACCGTAGTTGTATTACCATTAACTGTTAAACTTTAAAATCCTTAACTAATTCAAATTATCTTTAAGAAATATTCCTTATACCTTGAAAAGAGATATTTTTAAAAATCGTCTAAATATTATTTCCTACATTTGTGTAACCTAAATGTATATCGGTCCTACCTCTTATAAATATAGCCTCTTTTAACCACTATATTTATCATTCATTGAAAAACTTAAAACAAAAATGGCGAATAATTTGCAGTTGTCTTTCTTGAGTGATATAAAACCGAGGAAGACTGCATGTCGCATCCAAGTCAAAATCTTTCATACTTGGAGACATTTAATGAAAGATATAGGGGAGACCATGGAACTAATCATTTGTGATGCAAATGTAAGTTTATCGTTTTGTATAGATTTATGATTTAGATATCTTCATTTTATAAAAGTGTAACCTAAATGATAATGTTTTCTAAGCGCGGGTCAAAACCTAAATGATAATATTCTTCCCTATATTTATGGAACAATTCTTCTTATTTTAAAACTATATGATTTTGAATCATAAATGTTTATAATTTCTTATTGGTCAGTTTTCTCCTATTTTTATAAATTATCTCCATTGTTATGTATCTATCTAACACGAGTATATCTTTATCTAGATGTTATTGGATAAGTTAAAGACTTGGGTGATCTGGAAACCATAGTGTGTAGTGGTGGGAAACAAAAAAATAAGTTGGAGTTTAATCTCGTGGAAACCATAAAAAAAAAAATTTTATGGTTAATAGTATAAAGTTAGACCTATTATAAATTTCTCAAGCGCGGGTCAAAACAAAATTGCCGAAACATAAATAAACTATATAATTCGATTAACATATTTATTGGATTTAACTACAATTTTTAATACAATTTTGGGTATTTTTAATAGTATTGATTTTTCAAGTTTATTATAGGTCATGGACCCATCCAATTTTGGTTTCAATCTAATATGTGTTTTAATTCTTCAAACTCTCACAACACTTAATTTTCTGATTCTCTGTTCAACCACAAATTGATTCGGTTATGCAAAACTCAATGAAAAGACCCTACTAAAACGTTAAATATACATCAAATTTCGCATATAAAACTATCATATAATAGAAATCAGATCATTTTATACATTTTGTTACAACCGAAACAAAACCCGCGCTTCTCAAGCGTGGGTCAAAATCTAATACTTAAATTATACTCCAGATTTGGTTAATGCAAATTAACCCTTATTATTCTGCTTATAATTAAAAATTGCTTTTAAATTTATTTCCAGTTATTGTTTTTAGTAAAAGTAATTTTTTTTTTATAACATATTTTTCATAAGATCAGTAAAAGTAAATTTGTTAATGTATGAAATGACGTCAAACATGATGCATTATGAAACAGATATTAATAATGGGAAAGACTTCATCGGACAACGGTGCAAGCAAGTACAGCACCAATTCTGTCAAAAGCCAAATAAAGACTTCCAACAATTGTTAGTTATAGAAAAAGAAAAATATATTTCGAATTTTCGAAAATACCCCTCAGACTGACAAAAGCATCTCTCAAAACTCCACGAGTCAATCATCCGTTGCTTGCTTCAATACCACTTTTAAACGCCGCACGATTCGTGGGTTTCCATCTAAAGAGTACGAGGATATTTTTATCTCACGCGCTTCTGTCTACACTTGACTCTACTCGCCCTCACATGCCCAACAACAGAATCTTCTCCTCGCGATCTTACCAAGTTACGAGGTCAAAGATTTTGACCCAATCAAACTTGCGCGTACCAAAGCGAGTACGGAAGTTTATTATTTTTGCGCAAGTGGGCATTTATGAAACTACTGATTGAAATAATACCAGCAGCGGTTTTGTTCCCAATCCGCTCTCTTGCCATATATACTCAAACAGAAAACACAGAAGACATCTATTCAAGGAAATAACAAAAGAAGCTTCTGGTCTTCCTCTGCCTGCTTTCATTTTATTGGAAAAACCCTAATCAAGTAAGTCAAATCTTCACAAGTACATACACATATGATTTCAAAGAAAACAGGAGAACTATAAAAGAGAACAAATCTAAAGCCAAGTTAGAATTAAAAAAATTTATCTAGATTTGACCATTAACGATGTGCATATATACTTTTGGTAAAATTGTTGATGCGCATTAGATGGGGAGAGGGAAAATAGTTATAAGAAGGATCGATAATTCGACAAGTCGACAAGTGACTTTCTCCAAGAGAAGAAGTGGATTGCTCAAGAAGGCAAAAGAGTTATCTATTCTTTGTGATGCTGAAGTTGGTGTTATCATCTTCTCTAGCACGGGCAAGCTCTACGACTACGCAAGCAATTCAAGGTCAGCTTTTTAATAATGAAAACATATCTTCTTCTCTTAATTATTCTTTTTTTTTTTTTTTTGGCTTTTCAATTGCATTTTCTTGCCTGTTTGATCTCTTATTTATCTTTGTTGCGGTTCCTTATGCGAAGACATGGGTATATATATATAAAATTGTAACTCGTGACCATGTCTCATCTCTAAAGACGATTGTTTCAATAGGGTTGTAGTATTTGTTTTAGTACGAAGAGAAGAGCTGTTTATTTTTTTTATCTGTTTCTCGTTTTAGAACTTTTTGTTCTTATTGGAATCTTGACTTTAGTTTTCCGTTTTAAAACTTAGACCATAATTACTTGGTTAGCATAGTCTACATTCTGTTATTGTTTCAAATTTACCCTATCACAGTAAATTTGCCTAGGTTAAGTAAATACTATCTGGGTGCCCTTAACTAACTTAAATTTACTTCACTCATATATTCAAATAAGTAAATGCATTTGAGTCTCAGTTTGTTGCAAGCACATCAAGATACATGCAGTTGGTGGTTTACGTCTTGCTACTTCTAAAGTTATACATGTATATGGATCAAGATTTTAAAGTTTACTTGTTCATTCAGTGGTGTATAAATTTATATTTGCATTATTTATATCTTAAACTTTTGCATTCTGATTTATTTTTAAGTAATATCACATACTATATATGGTAATTTATTGGATGAAAAATATAATCTAGAAAGTTTATTTGTGTCTTTTCCGCAATGTAGAACGAAAAGCATTTTATTTTGTGCTTAGTAGGTATACAAAATTACATTATGCAGTTTCATGTTAAGTATGTAACCAATGGATGTAAATTAAATTTGACTAAAACCATGCATGCTGAATTACTCGTTGGTAAAAAAAATGATGAAATGAAACTTTGATCAATCATTTTTACACTTGTATATATATATATGAGAAAATACTATTTCTGTATCTTTCATATTTCATTCATCTATATTCCATTCTGTATAATTAATACCTAAACCAAAATTCTATTGAATTTCGAGAAATGTTCTTAGTCAAGTAGTTAAATGTCTACAAACCTTTTTAACAAAAAAACATCTGCAAACCTTTCCCACAGGAGTTCAACTCCACTAAATCGTGTTCTCTGCATTGTAGGACTGACTACGGATCAAGTCTTATCAATCCAGTGATGATACGAAAAGAATCCTAGAAACCACTAAAAAATGCATAAAAAATATATTATTAATATGAAATTTGTTTAATTTAAAGGGAGTATATTTATGGCATGGAAACTGTTTGAGATTCATTTCTTGTTTTTGTCATGTTTCCAAAATGAAATCTTTAGAAAATCGTTTCAAATAGAACATGCGCTGAAATATTGCATTTTCTGTAAAAACATAGTATTACATTAATAGTTTACAAACGTAAGATGAAATTAAATAACCAATTTGATTAATTAGAATAATAACTGAACATATTTATGCATTAGAAGATGTTAATTTTATGATAATTAATTTTAGGATTCTTACACCCAATGAATTAGAACTGAAAGCAGTTTTGTTTGTTAAAGATGTTGAAAATGAAAAAAAAACATACTTTTAATTATTTGACTTCGAGTGCTAAGATATTAAATTTATTTTAACTAATTAATATTTATGTATTCAATTTTTGGTAATTTGAACATCCTATTCTAATCTGATTTGCATGCTTAGTTTTTTAATACATATTATATATACATTTTCAAAATATTTCCACTGTTAGATTTTATTTTTAAAATGTATTTTAACATTTGGTAACTCTTTGTTTATGAATGTCTGTTTTTGTTTCGATGCAAATTAAGGAAGACTCTGATTGGTAACCATCGCAGAATCACGGAATCGCAGAAAAAATTGTGACGCTGTGGAAAAAAAATCAAGCTGCGGAAAATTTAAAAATTTACGGAATAGTGGAATACATATTAGAGTTACTTAGAATATTTTATATGGTATTTACTTTATCAGAAGAATAAGTATCAATAACTAAAGTAATTATTAATAAATCTGAAATATCTAAAATTTATTGAAAATAATTTTAATTCTTATTATAACTATTTAGCTTATTTTTCAATATGTGTTTAATACTAGATTGACATTTTATAATATTATAAAATAAATTATAGTATATGTTTATTTACAACATAACTATCATTACTAAAAGAATATTACTATTTATTTAATATTTTAAAGTGGCAGTATCATATAATTTAATAATATGAAAGTATTAGTTTTGTAAAAAAAGTATTTGTCAACTGTAAATTGTCTAAAATAATCTACTAAACTCACTTTTTCACTTAATACAATTTTTTTGTATTTTTATCAGTAAAAACGTAAATTTGCTTTTTTACGTTTTTTTCTCATTCTGCAAATTTTTTTGATTGATAAAATATTTGCGGAATCGCATTTAAAACACCCTTACGCCTTTCTGGAAAATTACCAATCACAGCCTAAATGTTTTAGCGTTCTACATATGGGGTCAGATCCTCAGTTTAGTTCATTTTGAATTATAATATTATTATTGTTACTAATGCAAAACATGTTTTAGTAGACCATAACATCTAAAACGCTATTTCCTACTAGACGTCTTTAGTATTGCAGATATGTATGAATTGTTTTTGTTGGTGCTCAAATAATTAAACTGGAACAAAAATTTATACCGTAATGATACCACATGTATAACAAATTCATACAGTATTTGAATTTCACATAGTGTCTACATAATGTTCCTGGCCTGGTTTGATACTATTGTTATTGTTTTTTTTTTTCTTTTGGAATATGATCAGTATGAAAACCATCATTGGGCGGTACAACAAAGTAAAAGAGGAACAGCATCAATTACTGAATCATGCTGCAGAGATAAAGGTGCGTGTTTGTAGAAGGGACAAATCAATAACCTTTTTTTTGACAAATCAATAACTCTCTGTCTATTTTAATTTGTCTCATTAGGGTTTTGATTAAGTAGTACCTAAACAATATTTACTTACTTAGAAAAAAAAAGTATTTATTTTCAAATGAAAGGTTCTTAAGTGGAGGACCTATTCTGAAAGATAACTATCAAATTTTATGTATTATATTCTATATAGCATTCTGGATTTTGTCTGATCCAGCATGGAAATGTATACCTTTTTTTTTTGTTAAATGATCTTTATATTATTTTTTTATCTAGTATACAATAATGCTGTTTCAACAGTATTATATTCATCTAAACTTTTTTGAAAGTATTTAAACAGTTCGTGATTGTTTACAAGCTCCTTTTATTTATTTATAAGTTTAAAAGTATATTTCTCATTTAACTGAACATTACATGTTAGCTCTGAATATTTTAAGCAAATGGAGTTGGGACTAAAGATGTAATATATTTGTTAGGGCCCCCTTTAGTTAACATCTTCAGTTTTCGCTTTATGATACCAGTTTTGGCAAAGAGAGGTTGCGACTTTGCAGCAACAGCTCCATTATCTTCAAGAATGCCACAGGTACGAGCTCTTGTCCTATTAAAGAAAGTAGAAACTGAGTATTATGGTGATTACGACATTAGGTCGAATTAGTCCAAGGTGAACATAAACAAAGTATTATGTATATACGATATATTGTGTAACCATAAGGAACGTGAAAACTTATTATTGATGCAATTTTGTCTCACCGTCGACTAAGAGCATGATTAATCCGAAGTTCTTAAGGTAAGGTTCTTAGAGCATGATTAACCCTTAGTTCTTAAGAAGAGGTTCTTACCGGAAGTTAAAAAATTATTTCTTAATTTTTAACTAAAAAGGTTAAGAACCGGTTCTTAAATAATGACTTTACGAACCGATTCTTAGCGTTTTTAATTCAAAGTTAAGAAACAGTTTCTTAACTTCCGCTAAGAAACCCATTTTAAGAACCTCGGTTAATCATGGTCTTAGCGGAAATTAGAAACTGTTTCTTAATTTTTAACTAAAAAAACTAAGAACCGGTTCTTAAAATCTTTATTTAATAACTGACTCTTAATTTTTAATTAAAAATTAAGAAACAATTTTTTAACTTCCGTTAAAAATCCCACCCTACAAATCCCAGATTAATTATACTCTAAGTCAGTTCGGTTTCTTTTTTTAGGTGAGTCCTTCTTTTCCTTTTTTTTTTGTTTTTTTTTTGTGCACGAGTCCTTTTATTATTTTAATTGTTTGGCAAGGAAAATATAATTTGGTTAGACTTGTAATCAAAAATCCTCTTTGACGAGATGATACAAGGAGACCAACATTTAAGATGACAAACCAAAACAAATCCCAGATTAATTATGATCTAAGTAAGTCCGATTTTTTTAGGTGAGTCTTTTTGTTTTTTTTTTGTGCACGAGTCCTTTTATTATTTTAATTGTTTGGCAAGGAAAATATATTTTGGTTAGACTTGTAATTAGGCCTGTTCAATCTGGTGTTCGGTCCGGTTTCGGTTCGGATTTTTTCGGTTTTCGGTTATTCAGTTTATAAAAATTAGCTACCATATTGGAACCATATTTACTTTGGTTTGGTTCGGTATTTATACTACTGGTTTTCGGTTTATTCAGTTTTATACCAAATAACATTATTATTTGATTTGGTTTCATATTATATGATTTTTTTTAAACATATTGTCAAAACTAATCATTTATTAAAATAATCCTAGGTGTTCATAAATATAAAAATGTGAAATTAACAACAAACAAAATTCAGTTTTGTATAACTTTTCTTATTTTCTCTTTGTTCTTCCAAATAAATTACATGGTACAATCTAATTTCACAATTTCTTACAACATGTAAAATCAAATCAAATTTAGATAATAGTTGAATAAAATAAAATAAAATTATTAAGATATATCTTCACAAGGTATAAAAATAAAAATAAAAATAAAAAGACTTTTCCAAAAAAATAAATGGTTATATAATGTATATATTTATATATTTTTTCTTTGATCGGTTTTGTTCGGTTTATTCGGTTTAATCGGTTATAAACCTAACCATATCCAAATCCTACGGTTTTTATAAAATCATATCCATTCGGTTTATATAGTATATACCAAATCCAAACCATATTGTCTATTTCGGTTCGGTTCGGTACGGTTCAGTATCACCATATTGAACATCCCTACTTGTAATTACAAAACCTCTTTGACGAGATGATACAAGGAGACCAACGTTTAAGATGACAAACCAAAACAAATTAGAACTCGAGAAAAGTAGAGCTAGTTAAAACAATTTATATTACATTCCGAAAAGCATCATAAAAATTAGTTTATAATAAAATGCAGGAAACTGATCGGAGAAGAACTCTCTGGAATGAATGCTAATGATCTACAAAGCCTTGAAGACCAGCTAGAAACAAGTCTAAAAGGAATTCGTCTAAAGAAGGTACGTATGCATCGTTTTGGGAAAAGACATTAATGATTGTTTCTCGTTTTTACTTTAGTTTTTGATTTTTGTTTCTGTAAAAACTATTTTTTTATCCAATCAAATTTTGGTTTTTGTAAAAACTATTTGATTTGCCAATCAAGATTTTTTAAAATTGGATTCCCTAAATTTTAGGGAAACTAGTTTTTGAAAATTTTAATCAATTTATGAAGAGAAACCAAAAACTCATTTTTGTTGGTTTTTAGGAATAAAAACGATTTTTTTTTATATTTTCATTGGAAAGTGGTACATTTTAACTAGCTAATAATTAAATAATAATACTTTATAAAGCTAAAAGTCTAATAAAATTTTGGTACAAAAGATAACATTTAAGCAATAATGTTTAATCATTTATTTATGTTGCATGTCAAAATAAATTTATATACTTATACATAATATTAAATAATTAAAATTGGTTATTCATTTTTATATAGAAAATTATTTAATAATTTTAATAATAATTAGACTTATTAAACAATAACTTAAATTATAAAACATAAAATTTCATTAATAAAATATATTATATTAATTTGAAAAACAAAAAAATTCCATTCAAATTTTATAATTTAAATTACATACAAATTTTTTTATAAATAATTATCATATTTTAAGTATTGTATAGTTTATAGTTATTTTATGATTTATAATTTAGTATAATATAAATTTCTTAAAAATATAATAATTAAAACATGTTAATGTATTTTGTATTATTAAATAATAATCATTATATTTTAATAGTAGCTTTTAAATGTTTTATTTCTATATGTCTACAAATGACAGTGGGTGAGGATTTTTTTTTTTTTGAACATATAGTGGACGAGGAGCTATTTACAAATATTTATCCCTCTTTTAGAATGTTCGCATGATCTATAACATTATTTGAGAAGTAAATTTGCTTAGTTGTCAACTTTTCCTTGATTTTAGGTAATTTTGTTTATTTATCTTATTTAAATAATTTCATATACAATTTATAATTTAATAAAAACGAATTTATATTAATAATATTATATAGAGTTACCTTATTTAAATAATTTTATATACAATTTATTATTTAATCGAATTTATATTAATAATATTATATTTTAGAAAATATGTTAATTATGTTGTATTAAAAATTAAGTTAAATATAAAGAAAGCAATGCTGATTTATCAACTTCTCCATGGTTTTATATTTTGCTTATTTATCATATTTTAATAATTTACTATATAATTTGTTAAATAATAAAACGAATGTATACTAATAATAAGAGATTTAGAAAAATAAGATAATTCTTATGTATTAGATTGTTATCTTGAACATGTATTTTCTATTAGAAAATTTAAGTGAATTATCTGATTTTTAATTTCTCCTTGATTTAGATAATTTTGATTATTTGTCATATTATTAATAATTTCATATATAATTTATTATAAAACAAAAAATAATTTCTATCAAAAATTATATTTTAAGAAAATAAGATACTTCTTACGTATTATATTGTTATCTTGAAAATATATTTTTATTATAGAAATAAAAAATTAAGATAGCAAAAATTATAATTAAAATAAATTAAATCAACACATTTGTAAAATTATATTTTTAACAACATTTTTGTGAGTGTCGTCATTTATAATTAATTTTAAAACATAAATCATAACTTATTATATTGGTTTGAATTAATAAAATATAAACTAATAATAAATTGTACAAAAAATATGCCCGCATGTGCGGGCAAAACACCTAGTATCTAGATATTTATGTCACAAATTCTCTAAAACTAATTTGTCCGCGTATGAAGATATAATCATGTTATAAATATTTATATGCGCGGACATAATTATGTTATAAATATTTATTACTATTTAATACATTACAAAAATTACAAAATTTACTATCTTTTACTCAAATAATTTTTTATATCTTTCTATTTCTTAATTTTAATTTTCTAGGATTATAATTTATTTTTCCGGATAATAACGTAATATCTAGAGAAATTATCTTAAACAGCATTTTTAAAAAAAAATCTAAAAATAACCTTCACAAAATAAAATAACCAAAATAGTCTTTATTATTTTAAAAATTTTATTATTTATATTATTTTTTACAATTTTAATATTTATACTATTTTTTAAAATTTGAAACTAATTCGAAAAATTCCACCCATTAACTCTAAATCCTAAGTCTAGATTAGTTAACCCTAGGGTAAAAGTGCATATATACCCTTTAATAAAAACTATTTTCGTCATTTTTTTTCATTGAATGTTATATTTGTGGAATAAACTAAAATGTGCTATTCAGAGAAATTTTTCTAATATATGAATTATCTCCTTTTTATTATCTTATTTAAAGAATATATATGTTTATTGATAATTTTGTTTGATTAATTTATAAAAATTACCCAATATATCATATAAATCTAATATTATTAACATAAATTCCGTTATTAATTAATTGAATAAGAAATTATATATAACTATTCATTAAAGATAATATCAATAGTAACTGTTTAAACATTTAACATGAGCGTTTGAATGCACAAAATCTTATTTTCGGATAACAACTGAGTATATGTAAGAATTATTATTTCTTAATAATTTTTATATTTTTGATAATTTTCTTTTAGTAATTATAACAATTATCCAATATAAAATATAAGTATACTATTATTTATATAATTTTCGTTTTTAACAAATTATATATAACTATTCATTAAGTTAGAAATGATATTAAATACTCCCTCGTTTCAAAATAATAAATGTTTTATAAAATTTCATACTTTTTAATAAAACATATTAAAACTCATTTATTAAGGCATAGTTTTTGTAATTTTATATTTATTATATTTTTTAAACCAATAAGACTTCAAGAAATACAATTATTGGTTTTGAAATTTACAAATTTTCATTATTAATTAACTAAAAATGTACTGAAAACATTAAAAATACATCTTTTTAAACTATTTTTTTTTAATATATATTTTCTTAAAACAGAAGGAGTACTATAACATTCAACATGAGAACTCAAACGCAAAAATAACTTTGCAAATAAGTATAGAACTCAAACGCGAAAATAACTTTGCAAATAAGTAGTCTAACTCCACAATGATATAGTTGTACTTGATACGTACCAGACATTTTCCATCATATTTTTTTTTGTTATAATATTTTAGAATTTGGGTTAAGTTAGGTTTCCTTTTTCCAATTTTTGATGGATCGGATCATTAATCATAATTGACGCTAGTCCAAAATCAAATTTCGTTTCAATACCTCCTTTTTTTCTTTTTGCAGGACCAACTTTTGACGGACCAAATAAGAGAACTCAACCGTAAGGTTTGCTAGTTAAAAATAATAATAATAATAATAATAATAATCAAAATACGCTCTTTTGAAACGATAGAAGATTGATATTATTCTTCAATATTTTTTGCACTATATTTAAATTAACCTTGTTTGATTCTGATACAGGGACAAATCATACAAAAAGAGAATCAAGAGCTACATTGTATGATAGATGTAATGCGTAAAGAAAATATTAAACTGCAACAGAAGGTGATAAAACTCATTATTATCATATATATATATATATGGAAATACTAATTTATGTTAACAAATATACAAACTTGCAGTATCAGGTTCATGGAAGTCCAAATGCTATTGAAGGCAATTCGAGTGTAGAACGTATAAGCAACGGAAAGGAAATATACGCGCCATCGCAACTTCAACTCATACAACTACAATCTCCTAAAGAAAAATCAATAAAATTGGGGTAAGCTTTCTAACTAATAATATGTTTAAACTTACGCAAGCTTATATTTATTAATCTTAATGAATATGTGAATAATTGAAACAGGCTAAAACTTCCCTAGCAAAAATTGTTTTACAACAATTGATCTACAACATAGATCATCTCTCTGTCGACTACTTCGTGAAGTTTGTATATTATTGTCTCTCTCTCTTTCTCAAATTACGTTTTGAATGAAGTTATCTGATGTACATCAAAAAATAATGATGTGATGTGAGTGCCAAACACACTAGACATTGTATCTATCTTTTTCATTTCGTTAAACTAAATTGACAATATTTAGTGGTTTTTTTTTACAAAGTTTCTTTCAAATAAACCTTAATAGCAAGAATTTTAATTTTCCATACTTTCATACCCAAAAAACATATCATATATATTTGGACAACGTGATGGAACTTAATCTTTTATTACAACTTTATATGGATTATATCATAGATATATGATGTGTCTCCATGACCATATCTCGTACTGTATTTTTTTGGTACGCAATCTTGTTTTCATTAAATTAATAATGTGAAATATAACAAAATACTAGATTTTGATCTGCAACCGTGTGAATTTTATTTTCATTTTATATACATATACAAATAGTTTATATTATTAGGATGTTAATCATATATTTAAACATTTATATAATTATTACAAATACAATAGATTTATAGCGTACATATTAATATCAATTGTTTCAATAATTTTTATTATATATTTATCTTATTAGATTTGCATTTAATTATTAATATTAATATATGCATGAAAATCATATTTGAAAGTTATTTTATATTTAACTTATACTAAATTCTGATATGAGTTTCAAAATTATATTACCGTTTAGCACACTTTTTATGTTTATTTAATTTAGGTAATATGTTATTATAAAAATTTAAGATATATTAATTTTATACATGTATTATATAGTTACTAAAGTTAATCCGTTCTGACAACATTTTATATATTTTTAACATTAATATTTTATTTTATGAAAACAAATTGATTAATCTATCAATTTAATATAATTTTATAACATTTACTCCAATGTATTAGTTTTCATTTAATATGATAGATTATGATTATAAAATAGATAAAAAATCATTTTTAATTTAATAAGAGATAACTGAATACATATATATATATATATATTAATTAATGTATAATTATATTTCATTACTAATTTTTAATTGGTGAAATATTTATATACTGTTTTCAAAGTTAAGATCTTGCTAAAATATTTTCAACAGATTTGTTAAAAATAATTAATATATTTATATTTAAAATAAAAAAATATCAAAAGATATTATGATTAAAATAGTTACCAAAAATGAAATATATTTAATAAAATTTCTTAGTAACGGTCTAAATAAAAAAATTCACACATGAAATAAGTCATAACTTCTATTTTAATGTAATAAACTAGAATTTGACCCGCACATCCGTGCGGGTATATTTTTTTATCTTATAAATATATAATTATTTTTTAAATATATGTTTTATATTTTATTTTTGATTAAAGTTAATTTATAATTATATTTAATAACCATTTAAAGAATACTTATTTTATATAAAAATATTTAAATTTTTGGTAAGATATTATTAGATTTTTTCAACAGATTTTGTTATATTTAAATTGATTTATTATTAATATCCTTATTAATTATTAAGATATTTTGAAAATAATATATATATTTGATTGATTAAGTAACAATCAAATATATCATATTAAAGAACTAATGACATGGTTCAACATGACTTCTAAATAGTAGATAAATTTGGTACTTCTCTTTTAATAGAGAAGGTAAATAGGAGAATTTTAGCACATATAGATAACCAACACGTATATTAAGTTTGTACAGATAACCAACATGTATATTAAATTTGTACACATAACAATCTATAGGCTAGAATATTATGTGTATTTTGTATTATAATAAGCTGACTATCCTCGTTCAATGACAAACGTCTAATCATATATGCATTTTTCTTTTTTTCTTTTTCTTTATCCCTACCAATTTTATTTAATATTATGTATCTTTTATATCATACTAGATATGGACCCGTGCTTTGCACGGGTTTTGATTAATGTTTTATAAGTTTAAGAAAAAAAAGATAAAAATAAAAAACTTTTTTTTATTGAAATTGAATGTTTTTATATATGGTGTGTCGAATTCATTTTAGTAATCAAAATTCGGTTTTTTTGCATAAGTTTTGGTTAAACTTTAATTCAATAATGATGGCACATATACGTAGAGCTAGAGAAAATAAGCAAGACCCGAAAGTTTAAATTAAACGCAATCTAAAGAAATGTAAATTAGAGTGAAATACAAAGAATTTGAAAGGTGAATCAAGCCAATCAAGTATATGATAATGGAATATACTTTATTAAACTCTTAGTTTTGTCTTTATTAATTTGTTTTTATTCTTCTTACTCAAACATATTATGAAGTTTCAATTGTAATTTAGTAATGCTTGTGTTGTCATTGTAAGGTCTCGATTTTTCCGTGCTTTTATCATTTATATACTTTGGTAATAGAATTTCTCTATTTTAGAACAAAATTTATAGATGAATCTATAAGTGAATTGCAAATAATCTTAGTTGTATAGGTAATAGAAAACATTATATATCAGCATTTTATCATCTAATTTAGAGGTAATAAAACTGTTAATACCTTATGAAATTTATCCTGTTTTGATTCTTGTAGCCACAAAAATATATGTGTTTTATAAAAATTATATTTTAAAATCTCTATTGTATGAATAATATTTTATGAAAATATATTGTATTAGTACATGTTTTAATAGACATGAAAAAAGAAACAATCATTAAAAAGATTTTTATTTTAACATGATTGTGACATGTGGCAATTACATATCTAAGATTATGACATATGTTAAATCATAATTTTCCTTTTTTTTTACTTAAATACTTAATCTAAACGAATTTATTTTTTTTCTTACAATTTTCCTTCTTAAAAATACACTTAAACTAAACAAATTTAAATCATAATAATTTCCATCATCGACTATTACTTCAATTTTGTAACTGAAGAAAATTGATTAGTTTTAAAATTTAATAATAGATCAGTATATATCGATATATTTATTTATTTGTAACTATATAATATTTTTAAACCTTATAGATAAATGTCAATGTGTATCGATTATATAAAACAATTATAGTTTTGTTAACGGTGGTTAATTATATTAATACAAATTGTGAAAGAAATTACATAAGCGTTCTACAGTCAACAATTGTACGCATTTTATAAGGATTCACATCTACATCCCCATAAGTTTTACATAGGACTCACACCATACATATTTTTTGTACAATGCTAAAATTATCTTATAAACATTTTGTCCAGTAAACTGATAATTTTCCTTCTCACAAACTCAAAACATGGACCTGATAATGTAAAAAAATTAATATTTAGTCAAACCTAGACCAATGGGCTTCCATAAAAAAATAGTTAATTATATGAAAATAATAAAAATATTTTTACAGTTCTCTTTTTGTTTGGAATTTTAAAGAAAATTCTTTATTTTAAACCAATGCCTACTGATTTTGTAATTATCTTAACCCATGTTTTTTTGACTTTTCAAATATAATTTTATTTTAAATAAATACTACAACTAAAATAAATTTATAGACTTCTAATTATTTTAAACACATATTATATTTAGTAGTGCAAATAATATTCTACAACTAAAACAAAATTATAATAAATTTTGGTTTTAGAATTCTCTTTGTAAAATCTAAAATACTATTATATTTATAAGAATTTCTAAGATTTTGTTTTGTATATAAAACTTAAAATACTGTTTTTCTTTGTTATTATTTTAAACCCATGCTTAGGAAAATAAATACTAATATTAATATCGTTTTTTTTGTTTACAATATTTTCTAGAAATTACACTATTACTAACTATTTCTGAGAAAAATTTTGAATTCCTTTTTTTTAACTTAAAAAGGAAAAAATACTATTAAATAATTATTTTTAAGAAAAAAATAAATTTAATTTAATAGTAAAAAGTAAATATTCTTTTTATTTTAATTTTCCTTTTTAAAAATCCTAAAAAATATATATAATTATGAATTCCTTTTTAACTTAAAAAGGAAAAATTACTATTAAATATTTATTTTTAAGAAAAAAATAAATTTGTTTAGTCAGATTATTTTTTATAAATAAAATTGTAAGAAAAAAGGAAATTCGTTTTTAGTTTGAGTATTTAAAAAGGAAAGTTATGATTTAAATTTGTTTAGTTTAAGTGTATTTTTAAGAAGGAAAATTGTAAGAAAAAAATAAATTCGTTTTGATTAAGTATTTAAGTAAAAAAAAGGAAAATTATGATTTAACATATGTCATAATCTTAGATATGTAATTGCCACATGTCACAATCATGTTAATTAGTAACTTGGTTTAATTATTTTTAAGAAAAAAATAAATTTAATTTAATAGTAAAAAGTAAATATTCTTTGTATTTTAAATTTCCTTTTTACAAATCCTAAAAAAAAAGATAATTATGAATTCCTTTTTTAACTTAAAAAGAAAAAATTACTATTAAATAATTATTTTTAAGAAAAAAATAAATTTGTTTAGTTTGAGTATTTTTTATAAATAAATTTGTAAGAAAAAAGGAAATTCGTTTTTAGTTTGAGTATTTAAAAAGGAAAGTTATGATTTAAATTTGTTTAGTTCAAGTGTATTTTTAAGAAGGAAAATTGTAAGACAAAAATAAATTCGTTTAGGTTAAGTATTTAAGTAAAAAAAAAGGAAAATTATGATTTAACATATGTCATAATCTTAGATATGTAATTGACACATGTCACAATCATGTTAATTAGTAACTTTGAAAACCAAGCTTTATATAATAAGATAGAATTCGATCAAATAATAACAAAACATACAGATCTTTTACACATGTTATGACTTGATTTTATTTTTAAACAGACTTTCTAAAAATAGTCGGATGAAAGCTTATACTATACTACTAAGGTGTGCTCCGCCCTACGGACGGGTTAGTAATTAAAAAATTCGATAATATATTATCAATTTTATTGAAGATTTTAAATTATCAATTTTATTGAATATTTTAAAATGATTAGTATTTTAACTGAAAGTAATATTTATTTCAGTATGTAGATTTTTTATTCTTATTAGAGGTAATGCTTACAATTATAAAAAAAAATTACAATTATACATGTATTTTAATTCTTAAAATTAATTACAACTATATATTTCTATATATTATCCATTTCAGGTAACAGTGATAAATGATGCATGATCTGTACATGCTTTTTTCAGCATATCTTTTGAAATTTTTATGTTGAAAACTTGAAATGTTGATAAATACCCATATACTATAAGTTACGAAAAAACTACTCTATCAGACACTTTCTGTCTTTATATTTACTCTAAAAGACACGTGTTGCTAGTCAGACACTTTCTATATGTGTAAAGGCCAATATACCCTTGAACTAGAGTTACATCACGAACTCTTACTTCTCATTTGAGCAAAACAATCTGGTTTGATGTTTTTATTTATTTATTAACTTCAGTTTTTTTTAAATTAAAAGATAAATATCAAATCCCTAATCTTAAAGGCATCTATCTCCCTTCTTTCTTCTCTTGTTTCCATCGACTCCTCTCTTATTTTTATCAACGGCGTCTTTCCTTCTCGAACTCCATTTTTCCCATCTCCCATTTCTTCTATTTTTTTTGGTTTATAATCACACACCATAACTAATTTCGCTAAATCTCACCGGAACAACAATTTTTTCGCATTGTGAACCGCCGTAATCACTAGCACAACCATGTTCTCCACTGCAACAGAACAAACCTTTCATCTCCACACAATCCATAACAACAGTCTCCACATCAATACCTCATTTTTTCTGGTAACCTCATCCACATGTCTCATGTCCACAACATCATCATCCACTCTTTGTAAACTATCTGTCCACTGAAAAAATGGAGACGATGGTGGTGATGGCCACATAAGAAACTGATTGTTCTTGTTCACAACAACACCATCCACTCTTCGCAATTCTTAGACAACCACATCCACAAACCCATGTCCACTAAAAAAAGCGAAAACGGTGGTGGTGCTGGCCGCATAAGAAACTGATGGTTCCTGTTCACAACAACACCATCCACGCTTCACAAATTTTAGACAATCACATCCACAAACCCATGTCCACTGAAGAAACGGAAATGGTGGTGGTGGTGCTGGCCGCATAAGAAACATGGTGATGACACTTGAAAAAACGCAACAATGGTGGATGGTGTTTGCCGTGGAAGAAATGGCAATGGTGGTGGAAGATTAGCATAAAATGTGATATTTTACAAGATAAAACAGATCTACAAAAAAAATAAAATGGATCTAAACAAAGTAATTGTAGAAATAGAAAGAAAGTAGGAGGAGAACATCGGAGAAGTTGAAAAGAAATTGCAGAAAAAAAGAAAAAAAATAATAACTTTTTGTTACAGAAAAAAAGTAATGATAAAAAATATAATAAAAATGATAAATGGTTTCGATGATAAGTCTCATCTTTTAGTTTGCCTAACAAAAGTTTAATTGATTTATTAAAAGACTAGGGGTAAAATTGTCAGAGAACAACATCGATAAAAGAAAAAGTGCCTCTTAGGCAGAAAGTGTCTTTAGGAGTAAGAAAAGCGAAAATTGTGTTTTATCATGTAACTTACTCATAAGTTACTCGCTGCTAGTTTCAATAAACCTAATGTTCTTGGTTGTTTGTAGAGGAAATGCTAATAAATACCCACATACTATAATTTCTATATGTTTGTTTTTTCTTCTTAAAACCATAAAATAAAAGGTGAATTTCATTTAAATATCATCTCTTAACTTTTTTGGTTATAAGATGTGGAGAGAAGTACATATACACCTCGTAGCTTTTGGTATGTTATTTGTAATCTGACAAGTGACATCTTGCTGTTTCTGCTCATTTGATCAAAAGTGGGGTTAATTTAGAAGGTTCAAGAACCAGATTCTTCTGTTGTAGGAGGAGCTTGTGTTCATTGGGATGAAAATTATAACAAAGACATAGATTAGGTAGTATAAGATTAACAAAGACATAGATTAGGTAGTATAAGATCCTCGTAGTGATCTTAAATGTTACTAAATTTATTTGTTGTAAGTGTGATTCAAACACTCTTGTGGTGTAAAATTTTATATCCGTTCAGTTGGTTAATATCAAGTTAATGATGAATTAAAAGAAATCATCATGACAATAACAAATCATGCTGGCAGTGTAAGAGGTAGAGTATGAAGTGGTAGAGTATGTTAGATTTTTCTAATATCTGCAGAGATACTATTTATTTGGTTTAAACCGTTTGATATTTTTTTAGTGTTTATATAACCTTCTAATGTGTATTTATGACATTATTTATTGTAATTAATATTTTTATTTTCGTTTTTATTTTATAATAAACATAAATCATTATATTTGTATGCATTTGACCATTTATTCCTATAATTGTTAAAATGTATTTATGTTTGATCTTATTTTGAATGAATATATATTTTAATTATATTTTTATTCTTTTTTTGATATTTTGATTTAGTTTGTATTATCAATAGTTTTGATTTTGATTTGGTTTTTATTTTCTAATTAACTATGATTTGAACCAAACCATTAATTTGTCTCGTGAGAATACGAAATTCTGGTCTCTTTTCATCGACGATAGATCCGTTTTATTTCATTCACATTTCAGTTTCTAACATAGGCTTCCAGTTGGCATCGTATTGTTTGGTTCAATTTGGTTCTTCAAATTATGGTTCTAGTAGGGTTTTTATTAATCTGGTTTTAGTCACATAAGTTATAAAATGGTTGGCCCATTGGTGACACCTTTGCCCATTTAAATCTAATTAAAAGTTCAAAAAAATTCTATATACCAAAGACACGTATGCATCTCCTCTTTGCGTAACCCTAACTACATCAACATCATTCATGAGGTCAACTCTAGTTTTTCTTCTTGTTCTCTTCGGACTCTTCCCTACACCCATGTTCATCGACTATTCTTCTTTTGTGTTTTTATTCTTTTCTTATTTGCATGTACGTGAAGTTAGGAGACGTTCTCGTCATCGCCTCCATATTACCACCTCTGTTAAGCCTCCTCATGTTTGTTTAACGCCGGAGTTCACCGCTGCACATCACCTGAGCGACCTCCATGCATTTCCGTTGTTGTGAGGTCTAAGATGTGAGACAAATCCAAGTCGGAGCCATAGCCTTCTTCACCACCAACTATCACCAGTCATGGATCTGTACCTCCGGTGACCAGTGAATGAGCAGAGGTGCAATCCATGCCACATGGATTTGAAGGGTGTAAGGTAGCTCTAGATTGGATTAAGCAGTGTTGGAGTCATCAACTTCCGAGTTTGAAGCTCCGGTGGGTGTTGTAGATCTAACTACCGCTTCCGGCTATCATAAGAAAATGATTAAGCTATGGTACGTTGATGAAACACCCCTTGAGATCATAGGTTTAGCTTCACCAGTTGAAGAAAATCAAAGACAAGAAATTTTGAAATTCTTGATTTTTATTAAATATACTTAACGCTCAAATGATGTCTATATTAAGAGACTGGGTCTTTTCGTTCTCGGTTTGATACAAATTTATTTGTCAAATAAAAAGACTACCACATCTCATCACCTAATTTAAACCTTGATTTCGAAGATGTGGTACACTATATGAAGAGATTACTTTCTCAAACGTCAACAAAAGCTTTGATATTGTTTATGGATGACATGACCAACGGCAGGAAAATCTAATTTACATTGTAGAGTAGGCCAACAATAACGAAATACTCAATTCAAATAAGAAGACTGATATCAAAACAAGCAGCAGTTATAACTTAGAGTCATATCTTATTCAGAAGAAAGATTATATTTCGTACTTTGATAAGATATCGTAAAATGAATCAGTTGTTATTTAAATCTTCTCTTTACCAAAAAAGGAAATACATTTTTATCTATCATAAAAACTCATAATAGGTCTATTTCATTAACTAAAATATAGCTAACATTTACTTAAAAACCTATTTACAAAATATGCTATTCGAACACATTAACTTTTTTAATTCATTTAAAATACTAAAAATAAATTTTAATTATAAAATTAATTTTTATTTTAAATTATGACCAAATATGTTGAAATAATTATAAAGAATCTAATCACATTTTTTAGCTTTTTATATAAAATAATGGTTAGTAACAAAATAGTATCGTATTTTAGGATAAGTGACTCAAGTCGATGGAGAATGAGAATGAGTTGACAATAAATTTTGATCTGAAACAACATCTAAGTCTAAATAAGATTTGGAGACATGGAATCGATGTAAAACTTGAATTTGAATTTGTGGATCACCATATCGAAAATTCTTTCGATAACCAAAATCCCTAAGAGTATTCACAAAGATGCCATATTACATAAATTTACTCAGTTTACTTGAAATATCTCTTAGTCTTATCCATGCCACATGAGAATGATCAAACCAGAGGAGGTGAGAGAATTCTGTCATCATTCTCTAAATCTTGTAACTCGGTCCCCCTCATCAATTAACGTTATTCCACTTTGATCATTGTTTTTTTTTTTTTGCTAAAGTTTGGTATGGCCACTTTGTTTCTACCACAGTTTACGTATATCGATTCGGTGGTTTCCTTACAAGTGTAGAATCTTATACTTGTAGTAGGTAATATAATTTGTTTTACATCAACTCTGAACGTTTACTAATAAAAGAGGATACCACAAATACACAAATAAAAGAATCGAGGATAAAAGTAGTAACATATTTAAGAGGAAGAAGCAATAGAATGATAAGAAAATCAGAGAAGAGTTTCAAAGAAGAGAACAAGTAGTAGTGGTGAAAGTCTCGTCTCACTTCTGTTTTTTACCACCAGCAAGGATACGTTGAATCTGAAGGCCACGGCTGAATGCTTGGTTGAAAAGAAGCCTTGTCTGAAATTCGGAGACGAAGGGGAACCAGGCGAGAATCGTCACTGGCATGAAGATCACAACCCCCATTATGTACTCATACCCTCGAGCCAATGCCTTAACCGAACCCCACATTCCTACAGCCTTCATTGGTGTTCTTGCCACTTGCGAGATCTGAAGCAGAGCCCATCCCGTTGGTAGAAACGCTAAGAAACTCTGCAGTATATCTCCCACTGTCAGTTTCAGGAAGTGGAATAGCATTCCAACTATCACCACTGATCCTATGAAGAGAAACAGCTTGAGCAATCTGAACATCAGCTGGAAATCTGCGCTAAACTTCTTTCTCCCCATCGACACTATCTTCAGTATGATCATCACCGCAACTATCACCAGCCATGAGAGTCCGTATACTATGATGCTTTGCTGTTTTCCGAGTCTACTCTCTTTGGTTAAGTTCAAGTGGTAGACAATTCCGTATTGGTAGATGAAGTAGCGGAAGGAGAGGAAGATCTCCCAGAACTTTCCGAAAAAGCCAGCGTGAAGCAAATGCTCTTGCTCTTCTTCCCACCAGGATTCCCAGCTTTTGACTGCTGGCACTCCAATGCCTCCTCTGCTGCTTATCCATTTGTTCCAGTCATCCCAGTCATCAACTATCTTCTGCCACTCGAATCCCGAGGGGTTGAAAAGGAAGGGAGAGAACAACCAGGAAGCAACCAAGAACCAAGTTGAGCCCAGCACAAGCACGTACGCTACTGAGTCCTCTGTTGCTTTACCATACAGCCTGTAACATATCAGGAGAACCATCAACTCCATTCCTTTCACGAAGTGGCTTCTCGAGTACATCCTGTAGTTCTCTGCAAACTTCTCGTGCCTCACCACAAAGCCACGACCTGTTGCTCTGTACTTGGCTCCTCCGTGTAGTATGGTTCGTCCGTAGTAATGAACCTTTGTGCCAAGCGAGAAAGTAAAGAAGACAGGCGCTAACTGAAGCTGCATTATGATTAGGTCGCACAATGCAGTTCTGAATCCTCTCTCTAGCCCAATCTCCATTATCATGGGCAGTGTCATAAGCATACCCAGTTGCACAACCGACTGTGAGGCCATCGCTGCCTTGAGTGAACTATCTCCTTTAGCCGCTGCATACTTCACTATCGCCTCTTCCACTCCACTTAGTGACAGATAGAGTCTTCCATACAAGAATGCATAAACTGTGAGGACAACAATCTGAAATAGAAGAGAATGAACTCAGTTATGTTAAGCAAATTATGAGCCAAAGCTATAAATCCAGTATGACTATAGAAGATCAGAAGTTACCATCGAGCTGATGTAGAAGCCTATGGTTGTGAAGTAGGCGGACATCATGCGGAAGAAATCGAAGCGATGCCCAAGTCTGTAGAGATCTCTACTCAGTGTCTGCTCCCCGTTACCACAAGCAACCTTGGCTTCAAAGAGGGATATCTGGTTCAATCCAACATCTCTTCCTTTCCCTACTTGTATGTACTCGTGATGAGTGATATTACCACGCCTCAGAGTTGAGTTAAAACCTAGATACATACATGAAACAATAATTAGTAAATAAGAAAAGAATATATAACTGTATTTTCCTTGCAGAAGTAAGGTTCAGAACCCAACCAGCAAAGATGTCCTCGCTAAGATTTATGCCGCGTGATGCTTTGCTGATGCCACCACGAGTGATGTGGAAGATTCTGTCAAAGACATCAGGGTGACCGTAGTGAAACCGGACCCTGAAATCAGAAATCAGACATAAGCTTCATATTTTGTATTTATGATAGACAATAAACAAGGAAGACCAAGACATACTTCAGAGGACTTGCGAGGACTCGCTGACCAATGGTCACAAAGCTTGTTTCTTGATTCGACATGAACCATGCTAAAGAAGAAACACTGAAAGTACCATGCCAAAGCAAAACACATAGATATGTCAACTAGCAGATAGAAAGAAGTTTTATACTCTTAACATGAAAACATGATAACCAAATTTCCCAAATACCTGCCAGTAAAAATATGTTCTCTGAAACCAAGTATAGTGGGTGCACGAACTCCATGGTCTTCATTGAACTCTTCGAGCAGATTCCTCATTTTCAGTGCTTCTTCCAGGTAATGGTCCTATTAGTTAGATACTATGGTAGGTAAGTATCATTTTTCCAACAAGAACAGTGCATCATGCTTACGTTAGGCGAAAATAGTTTCACCTGATTCATGTCAATTGCCTGGAGAGCTTCTCCTCTTGTAAAGATGAGAGCATGATTCTGATTTTCGGGTTTTCCTTCTCCTATTTTTGCTGGACCAGGCAATTTTACCCGATATATTTCCTTAAGAAGTAAGAGTTACAGAGTTAGAAATCTGGGAGTTTTTTATTAATAGGACACAATAATCTGTTAAGATTTCCAACCGTAAAAATTTACCTGATCAAGATTCTCAACAGCCTTGATAAGCACCGAGTAGAACACTTTGTGCACTTTTCCCCCTTCACGTTCCTCAACCTCATCAATATATGCCACACGGAGAGAGGGATTGCTGCAGCATAGGATATGATAAATGAGACTCATCAGGGAACCAACCAATGGATGAAAGAAGAAGAATGTAAAATTTCTTGGAATTTATTCAGAAGAAAGGATGGAGGAGGGACTTACTTAACCATTAGATTAAGGATGTCTGTAGCCCTCCGGTCTCCACTTCGCTTCTGATTTCCATAGTTTTGGCAAGTAGCAACGTAAGTAAATTTGAGATCTGCTACTGCCTCTAATTGAGCGTACAATGATCTCTGACTTTTCTTGTCCTCCTCAGTTGGCTCTGAAATGGCTTTGTACCCTTCTAATATTTCTGAAAACACACAAGGCATGTTACAAGTGTTCTTATTTCAAAAATGTTGAATAGTTGACACATTGATGATAACTGCTGATTCAGTATTTTGGATTTAAATTGCCTCACCTTTTTCAGTAGCCATGTCAAGAAAAGCCTGAAGCTTCAATGCCCGCCTATAATACATCATGCCTCTAACTGCAAGATACAAATGGCAATCAGCAATAAATAAAACCATATAGCAATATAAGTAGGCATGTATGATATACAGTACCTGTTCTAAACAGAGTCTGCCCCCTTAGAGAAACCCAATGGCGAAGCTGCAATATATTTTCGTCGCTCTCCAAAACCGCAGTTTCATCTTTACAACCAAGACGCTCCAAGAAGTTGGTCCACTCATCTGAAATAGTGGACCATATATATCAACTATGAAAGCAATGAGAAGCAATTAGATCCAACAAGAAGAGCTCATCGATAAGACATACCTGGGAAGATCTTCTGCAAATAGTATACAACTGATATACCATCTTCATTCTCCATTTCCAGGTCGTTCTTAGAGTAGACAGTCTCTTCACTATAGTACGGAGTTAGAACACTGTAAATGAAAAAGAACACACAGAAGTTACTAATAAGGTAGACCTCCTCTCTGTAGTAGGAATTCATAATAGTTACTTAGTATCAACTACATTGACTGTATGTTTCACAGTTACTCCAGCCAATTAAAAAAACGTGAAACTATGGATTTCTACAATTTACAGAAATCCAAAATTTTGAGAAAATAGATAGCAGCAAGTGGTATCATCCGAGAAGCATAAATTCTATTAAAAATGGTGATAGCTGGAGCACATACCTGAAGGAAAGCATATTTCTGACACGGGGAGCTCGAGGCATATCCATAAACAGTGAATTTGAAAAGAAGGCAATTCTTCTTCGTGCTTCAAGGTTTATGGGAACATCCATTGCAGATTCTTTTACAGTCAAGAGTAAATGAAGACGTCTTATCTACAACAAAAAAAGAATCATTATGTTGAAAAGGGTCTCAAGGATACAGAATATCCCTAAGGATTAGCCTAGTGTTATTCACCTGTTCATCCCATTGAGCTGTTGCCACTGGAGGAAACAGTATAGCAGGTTTTGCGTCAGTACCAGCAAAAAGTTGCCTTCCGGATTCCTTGTTAGTATGCCCAAGTTCTACTAATTCACTGCAGAAAGATGCCACTCAAGTTGCTCTTGTTTGTGTGGATAATATATATTCACATAAGACACTAAACGAACTTTCCAGTACTATAACTATAGATATACAGTCCACTAACCGGTTTTCATTTTGCATCATATCTCGAGTAGTGACTTCCAACATATCTTGAAGCAACAGCACCACTGTGTCTCTTTTGGATGGATCCGCATCTTTCTGCACCATCATCAGTTACACATAGTAATTTATTTTTTCAGATAACATTAACAGTTCACTCACAAGTACTATCACTTCCATCAAAAGATATCCTTAATCTTCAGTTTTTTTTATAAAAACTTTTCCATATCAGTACATCAGTTAGCATGTAGTGACATTTTTTCCAACTAAGGAATCTTAAAAAAGGTTCACAACATGATTTCCTACTCACACTGGGAGCCAGCTTGGCTTATACTATCTCTAGCATAGAAAGTATCCACTCCCACGAACAATCTAAAATCAATATCACTGATAAAAATGATGTGATTCACTTACCAAGATTCCGACAAGCTGGACAAATTTACTGCAAAGAGCAGGCAAAGGAGCCATTCTGAAATTCGCAAGGAAGGTATTCTTTGATATGTGGCTCTCCACCTCTTTGATGATGATACCAATAATCCTGTGGTATTATATCTTATCTTAGAATCTATCAAACGAAATTTGAAATCAAAGAGTGGACTGAAATTCCAGGTTGAACCGCATTAATATGCTATAGGTGAAAGTAATTACTCTATGATCAAAACAGAAGAATGCTGAGGAACATATATATATGCAGTCTTAGAAGGAGAAATGTTTCTACACTACATCAGCAAATAAAGTTGAGACATGGTAGAGAAATCTAGTTGAGAGCGTGATTATCTTCAACTTTTCCAATGAATATTCTAACTGCTTCATGACTCATAATCAAGAACTTCTTTAGTGAATGAAGATATACCTTTTCTCATTCTCCCCAATTACCAAAGTATGCAAGACATGTTTGAAAGATTCGTAGCATTCAATAACAGCACATTTCATGTACTCGTCTGCACATATGCGCTTCCAGAGGTCAGAGTCTTTTGTTCGAAACTGAGCTGCCATATCCAATGCTATGGGTATCTGTTCCAAGAAGAGAACTTTATCGATAGTCGAAAAGAAAAGAGGTATCTGGAATAACAAAAGGAGACCACAAACCTTGCTTGCTAGCAAAAATGGTGGCCATTGAATCAGTTTCAAACTAGGGTCTGAAGTATAAGGCACAAGCAACAAATCCATCTCCCTGAACAAACAGTTGGTTTAGGGACATGGAAAATATGGGAATCATATTAAGGCAGTTTAATATCTAAGTTATTACCTGTCACTGATGAGATCTTCCTCTCGGAAGCTGCTAATTATTTCATTCCAGAGTTGGGAAAATTTTGCGGCTTCAGTTCTTCTTGCTGCTGTGACCTGCATATATATAGAATTTGGCGCCTTTATATAATACTAGTAGCATTCTACAGGAAATCACTTTATAGAAGAATCAATCTTGTTTAACCTCAGCAAATCTTTTCGACAAGGAAAACCCTCTTCTCCTTGTTTTATCACAAGGAACCAGATACGTGTTAAATGCACCAGGTAATGATTGGAACCTGGACCTCAGCATTCCAAGCGTTCTTATCTGGAAGAAGAATTGAAATGAGTTTGTTTGGAAAAAGATATTGTCACGCAGGAGGACCATAATTTCATCGTAGTAACATAATAACGGTAAAATAAGTGAGTGGAATGGATCCAGCAAGAAAGTATTACCTCTCCCAATCGATCAAAGGCCCCAATGACACCACCACATATAGTGGAGAAGATAGCATACCAAATTTGAGTGTCCATAAAATAAACCTGAAGCAAAATTAAAACGTGAGATATCCATGGAATTGCTAAACAATTCATTTAGATAAGTGGTTAAGAAAAGTTACCAAAATCACAGGTAACCACAAGGACACCACTGCTCCATAGTTGTGCTCAGCTGCAGGGATAATGGAAACATTTAGCTTTCCAAAAGTATTAACAGCAAACAGAAAAAACAGATTTCCAAGCAAAAAGCATCAGTCGTAATGTTACCATCGGGGAAAAACTCATGCCATTTGTACTTTACATGACGGATGCTCATAATTGCATTTGTTGGCTTCACCAAAAGTTTCACCTGTAGAAAGTAGCTAAATGCAAATTTGCAGCAGAAAAGCAACAGCCAGAAAATCGTATACCTGGAAATTCCAAGAAACATATTAGCTCAAACAATCTTTGGTCAACTGTTCAAATAAATTTCAGTATATGCGATCAATTTGGTTCCATATACTTACTTTATGAGTGAAATTTGACTTTCATGCATCCCCCTTCCAACGTAAATTCTTGGCTGAAGAGGAAAACAATGGAATGAATCAATAATTGGGAAATCAGACCACATCAGATATTTCCTCGAGGATCACACATTACAGAAACTTAATATCTTTGATATAGGCAGAATAAAAATCAAACTTTGCTCTTGACTTGCGTATACAAATAACTAACCGGAAATAAAGGAAAAATGGATCCTGAGTTGCACAAATAATATAGACTAACAGAGTTCAGGGCTCCTTTGGCAGACCTAAGGGATTTGCTGACTAAATAGAATCATAATTTTCGTCTAGGATGAAAAGAAAGGAGTTAAAAATCCAGTCTCATACCTGTGACCACCACAAAAGCAATCTAATTATATGCCAGTCTGAATTCTCAATCCAGCGTCGAAGCATAGGGAAAATGAACATGATAGCCGTCAGAACATTTGGGAGCAAGTAAAGAGCGACAGCCAAGATATAGAGCGGGGGAACCCCTTTAACTCGCGGAAGGAATGCTAGCCATTGCTTGAGCACCCCAGGAGCAAAAGAAACGGACTGGGCATAGCAAAGCGGTAATACCACACACCAAGCGAGACTTACAATGATCTTGAGAATAGTTCTCAAAACATCAGTAAATTTCCACCTGTGGAAACCTGGGAAGTTTAAGATGACGTCCAAGAAACCTAGCATAGAAGGAAGAAACAGTGCGCTCGTTATTTCCTGGAAAAGTAACAAAATGATGAAAACAGAAGAACTCCAGACAGAAAAAGTTTTGTCGCAGCATTGAGGGTGGCGTACTCTGAAGGAGGCGTAGAAAAGCTGCTGTAATGAAGATACTGGAGAGAGCATATAAAACATCCTTGTTTAAGATTTCCCTCAGCTCTACTCTCTCAAATGCAAGAATGATCATTGCCTGTATTCAAAAGGGAAATGTCATTTTTGACTCTCATGTTTTTATGGATATAGCTCGTGACAGATTGCTTACTTGAAGTGCTAACAAATAGAATGTCCAGAGTCGGTCAAAACTGTGGTATATGTGCCAAAATGTTCGAGTCTCGGTGAAATTTGATTTGCCTGTGTTTCCCGCTTTTCGTAAAGAGCCCTTTTTCCCCTGTAAATGAATTTAAAAGTGAGGAAAAAACTGACCAGCTCAATGGAGACAGAGAAACAGCTAAACAAAACTACAAGGTACTACCTGTGCCATATCACGCGTTGATTTGAAAAAATCTCCATCATCACGCATTGGCCATCCCAGAGAGAAGCAATCCGAAGACCTATATAACAGTGATGTGCAAATGACACACAAAACAAATTAGATATCCCAACCAAGTAAATATTCATTTTACGGACTTGAGTTCTAACATACCAGAAATATTCATTCAGATCATCATAGTTGGACCAATCTGAGTGAGCAGCCTTGCCATTGGCATTCTTATTTGCTTCCTAATTCATAGAAAAGTCAACTATGGTGTATACAAGGTCAAGATCATTAAGATGTTATCGACCTATCATTCAAACATGTACCTTTTCAACTACTCGGTAGATTGGTGTAATGACCTTCCGCAGAAATGCCTCATCATCTCCACCGTAAGAAGGCTTAATGTTTTCTCCAGTAACGATGCTGACATTTCCAGCCAAGAGACCATGGAGTTCATACGCCATCTGAAAATAAACATGAGGTAAATATTGATGAACTCTTGTGTTACCAATCATATCAGCCAGAATATATCATCAAAAAGGTAAATGAAGTAATTTGAATGTAGTACTTACATTGTGGAAAATATAGCATAAGCATTCTGGCATGAAGCGAATATTTGCAGCTTCACCCCAAATGAGTAAATACAAACCCATATACAGTATCTTCCGCTGTTGTATATCTTCAGCACCTTGAGGAAGCCTTCACATAAAAATAAATGAGTGAATTTATTAAGAGTATAAAATATCATTCAAAAGTGTCCCATCCAAGCCATTTATGAAATAAAATACTGCCTCGTACCTTAAACTATGTTTACGTCCTAAAAATTTGCACCAGTTCTTGTAGTTCTTAAAGAGCTTTGTCTTGACGGCATCAACGGCTCTGTCGTCGAGCTGCATTTATACATTAAATTAATAAAAACTTCACTCCTTAAAAGTGTTAACAGATGAATATGTATCTTTTTATCCATGGAATATTGGGATAACGCTGTGGTTTTTTAACTCATCATTAGTGTCAGTGGGTCTTAGAGCACATGCCCATTGCTCTATAGGAAAACGGAGAGAAATATTAAAGGTACCTTATTCAGAGGCTCTGGCCTGGGAGTCAACCTTATATGATTATCAGCAAGTAAACAAACCAGATGCTCCCTCTGGTTCCTGACATTGTCCCTCTGTTAAAATCAATGAAATAATAAGTTACAAATCAATCTCACAGGTTCAACATGAATTCATTAAGTCGTCTTGTTACTCTTCTTAGGTCAGAAAATTGCCTGGAATCCAAACATAGCTCTTAACCAGTCAAGAAGATCCAGATTTCCGGATTTCTTTTTGTGCTGCTCAAATCCAGATGGCCAGTTCAGTCCACGAGTGTTCCCCAAGGCAGCTACAGCGGCTTTGACCTAATCATTAAGCAGAACTAGAGGTGTAAAACACATATACTACACTCAGTAGATTAAAGCATTGGGACACTCATTCAAATAATATAGACCTCTTCAAGCTGCATAGCAGACTGCGAGGCTCCAGCAGAATCCAGTGGAAGAATGTTGTACGGTGCATAAATTTCGTTCTTTTCTTGGACATCTCTAGCAGCAGCAATAATCTATTCACATAGATATGAAAAAATTTCAAACTCCATTCCCACTAAACTGAATAAATGTTTTACAGCTGTCCTAGTTGCTTAGACAACATATATTTTGGACACAAACCTCAGGAGCTACTGCTTCAACTTTTTCGCTCTTGTTTACTGCCATGAGCACTTCAAAGAGGACTCCGGCAGTCTGGTATGCTTTACCAAGCTGAGCTCTGCGAGAGTAGGTTCACAAAATCCGTCAGAATAAGAGCACTACTAAATATCATCAAAAGTCCATGTAGTCCGAATATGATAACATGTAGTTTGGAAAACACGCAAGAACCAGCTTACCTGTCTGCTTGATCCCCTTGATCAAGTGCCCTGACATAGTGCTCATAATACTGTTGATAGTAGCTCTCAACTTCCCGTCCATCGGTTTTCTTCACCCTAGAAGCAAGACTCGAAGCATTGTCCTGTATAAAAATTTTTTTTTATCAGCTCCACTCATGCTGGAAGAGAGTGTGATACAAAATCTGCTCTTTAATCCCTTTTCATTAGTTATTTGCAAACAAAATCTTGTCAACCAAGGGGCTTGTCAAGCCGTGGTTTGTACCAAAATGTGAAGGTCTGAGACAACGAACTACATTTTATCATGAGTTATTTGCAAACAAAATCTTGTCAACCAAGGGCTTGTCAAGCAGTTGTCTGTATCATAAGATGAAGGTCTGAAACAAGGAACTATTAATTTGGAGTTCATTTGAAAGCCTCCTTTGTGAAGACTAAGATAAAACTAATGCAAATGTAGCAATCCTTTCTAAAGGTTGTGTGGCGTCAATAAACAGATAGAAAAGTAAGAGAGGATCACCCTTTCTAAACGTTGGAAAAGAAGTGTCTTGAACTGCCTAACACCACGGCCACTAGAGCTTGGATCCAACCTATGAGCTTTCTCGAATGCGTAAAATCGACCTTTATACGAACACAGCGAAACTAAAGTTAGCAACACAAAATCATAAATACATTATTCCAAAAGGCAGAATCAATCATACAGAGGTAGGCAACACGAGGTCGCTCATGTTCAATCTCAGCAGCAACACGAAGAATGGGAGCAATGGTGCCAAGGGAGGCTGGAACAACCTCATGATCAAACACTTCGATTGACATAGTAGTGGCGGCGCTACGAGATGGCCGCCTCATCAGGCCCTGAGGGCCGGAGTCGTGAGATGTGCTGCTCTGAGCCATCTCCTTTCCTGTAAGTAAGAGTCACTGAATCCAGAAACAGAGTAAATATCAGATTCAGATGGTTCGTCGAAAACATTAGTCTGCAAGCTTATATACGCAAACACATGCACAATCAAAACGGAGCTCACACGATGAAAACTGAAATCGAGACGGAAACGGATCGATATCAATCTGTAAAAAAAATGTTCGATCTCTGATAACAAAAACGATGTAACGATCAATACGGAGCTACGAAATAAAGAAAAAAAAACGCAGCTCAGGCGAGAGAAATCGACGTCGTTTTAAGGTTCGCTGTTCTATCAAAGGAAGCTGAATCGACATGAAAAATTCTGAAATGAAAGCAGAATATAAACGGAGAAGAGAACTCACGTTGGATGCGTAGAGCTGTTAGATCTCCTTCCCTGGAGAAGAGAACGAAGAAACGAAAACAAAATTACAGAATGAGTTTAACGAAGGACGATGATGATATATACAAATTTATCGTCGGAGAGAGGAAGAGATTCACCTGACGCGGAGACGAGGACACACGAATTCTCGGGATGAAGCATTAATCAGAGAAATCAACTCGAGAGAGAAAGAGAGAGAGAGAGAGAAGAATCAAATAATATTTGGGGGAAGGGAGGAAAGTATTGCTTTACGGTTTTAAGAGGAGGGAGGGAAACGAGAGACAGTTTTTTCAGTTAGAGAAAATCCACGTGGCGACAGAAGAGGGGGTGGTGGTAAAACTTAAAATAGCGATGGTGGTGAGAGGGTGATTATCAAATCAAACCTCTCTCTCTCCTCTTTCTTACTGTTTTTGTTGAAAATTAGGGAGCGATTCTTCTGTGTCTCACCATTGGACATCCGTTTCTTTCTCCCTTCCTTAACGCTTCCAATGATAAGAGTATTATCCAGTGCTCGACAAACATTCTTTTAACCGAATAACTCACAAATTATTTTGTTGTTAAAAAAAAACTCAGCAAATTATTTATTATTAGTAATAGTTTTACATTAAGCATATCCAATGATATAAACTTACAATTTAGATAAATAGTTAATTAATTATATTTATATGTATGATAAATTTGTTGGTGTAGTAACAAAATTATTTGCAAACATCATGAAACGATTAATCATACTCCTTTTGTTTCATTATAATCGAGTTGTTCACACGCATTAAGGATAATTTTACATATTTTCTTTATAAAAATACAATTATTTATACACCTAACCACATTTTAACCAATATAAGAATAAATTATATAATAATTTAAATAAATTTTCCATTGAAAACTGAAAATGACACTTATTTTGTAACAAAAAAAATTTCTACAACGACACTTAATATGAAACGGAAGGAGTATTACGGTATGTTTGATCGCATATACACTCAAGAAGATCAGGCCAAATAATATCCAAAGTTTTTGTTTTGTAACTTGGTTTTCAGATGCCCTTTTTCAAAAAAAAAAACTTTGTTTTCATATAATATCCAAAGTTTCTTTAACCTAGCTCATCATTTGTTAGAGATGAACGTTTTCCATTGTCTGTCTCTAGCAAATAAGAGTTTTTTTTTACAAAAGTGACTCAAACTTTAAATCAAACACAAATCTAACCTTTTTTTTTGACATTTCATTTGTCTTATACACCTCAGAAATTCTAATTATTCACAAAAAGTCATTTCTTTATTATTATTATTATTTTTTTTTTTAAATGAGTGTTTTATTTTCTCATATTCATCTTCATCAATTAATCACAAAAATATCATTGCCATCAATTCACCAAACAACCATGAACAACCAAAATGAAGCTCTTAATGCATCTAATCACGAAATTTATTCATTTATTCTTATATCTTATATCCAAAATCAACATCTCTCTCTCTCTTTCTATCTATATTCATCCAAAATATTCTATATTCATTCAAAATATTCTATATTTTGATTCTAAGGTTTTTAAGGGTCATATAGTCATTCAAGCTCACGATTTTGGATCATTAACGATTGAGTAGCTGTCCTGGTGAAGCTGTGTGTGCTTGGAGAACTAAGCAAGTTATCTCATGGTGTTGAAGGTATGAATTATATTTTTCCCAGATTTGTTCGCTGGAAGACTTATGCGTAAGTCTTCGTAAGTCTTCTCAGCCGAGAAGACTTCCACGAAAGTCTCCTGGTCAAATAATATGTTAGTTTTGCAATTGACATTCTCTATGTTTTTTAGAGGAGACTGCCTTAGAAGTTTTCTAATTTTCTTTGTTGGAAAAAAATGGAGAAGACTTACTTGGAAGTCTTCTTGGATAAAAAAGATTAGCTTACAATTGAACAATATGTGTCAGAAATTTGACTTTGTACGGAAGATTTTCAGGTAAATCTTTCGTAGGAAGACTTACCTGGAAGAGAAGTCTTCTCAACCTTTACTTTAAGGCTACTCGTATCGCTGAAAGTCTACATAAGTTACTTTTGTAATTGAAAATTTAAACTTAAAACATTTAATTTAAATTGAGATACTATAAGGTAACTCTTCTGCCCGAAGACTTGCCTGGAAGTCTTCCAAATAAGTCTTCTACTGGAAGACTTACCTGGAAGTCTTCCAAATTTTTATTCTGTGATTCTGGACAAACCTAAGGTAATCAAAGAAGGCTTACATGTAAGTCTTCTCAACAAAAACCAAATATAGTCAATTGCAAAAGTAACCTACGCAGACTTACAACGATAGTGAATAGACTTAATGTAAAAGTTGAAAAGACTTTCAGGTAAGTCTTCCGCTGTAGAAAATCAAATTTCTGACACAGATTGGTCAATTGCAAAACTCCATGTAAGTATTCTCAGGTATTTTCGAGAATTTTTGTATTAAAAAGGTAAGCTAATATTTACAAAGGAAGACTTCTAGAGAAGTCTCATACATAGGAGACTAGGGGTGGGCACAAGCCGAGTACTCGGTATTTTTGGTATACTTAGTACTCGGCTTGGCTTATACGAGTAGTAAATATTTTTACTTGTACTTGGTTTGCAAAAAACAAGTACTTGCAGTTTCAAGTACTTGCCAAAAATTGACGGACTTGTAAGTTACTTGACTTGTTTTATTACTTGTTACTTGTAAATTACATATAAATTTATTCATAATTATTGGTAAATTATTTGATAGTTCATTAGAATTTAAAGTTAAATAAATTTATTATATAAATAATAAATTATTTTTTTTTGTATTTAAGTCATTCAGATAATGTACTATATAAGAAAGATAAAACTTTAAGATGATTATATAAATATAACACTTATGTTTGATGTACTTATGAAAATAGGAACAGAAATGAATTATTGTACAATGATTTAGAAAAATATATCTTTGTTCATTAACAAACACAAGTAACAAACAAAACAACGTCAAGTAATTAATTTATTTAATTTTTACTTTATACTTATAAGTAATTTAAATAGATTACTTGATACTTAACTTTTTCATAACAAATACTAATTTTTAAAGATTATGTATCCATCAAGTACCGAATAAAAGGCAACAACGAGTAAGTATGGTCAATAATAAAATATAATACATAAATTTTAATTAACTAATAAAATGGATATTAAATATTTAATAAATTAAGTAATATATAACACATAATGAGACAAGCAAATGATAACAAGTAACAAACCAAGTAACAAGCCAAGTAGTTAAAAATAAAAAAGAACTTGATACTTGACTTGTACTTGCGACTAACAAAATCCGTTTACTTGCTACTCGACTTGATTGTAACAAGTACTTGTTTTTTCAAACCGAACTGAGTCAAGTAGCGAGTACAAGCCGAGTAGCAAGTATTTATGCCCAACCCTAGAGGAGACTTCTCTAAAAGTATTCCTTTGCAAATTTTTAATTGCAAAAATGACCTAAATTGAAGACTTACCTGGAAGTCTTTCGCCAGAAGACTTACCTGGAAGTCTTTCGCCGGAAAACTTACCTGAAAGCCAGAAGGCTTACTTGGAAATCTTCTTCGGGAAGACTTCCATGTAACTCTTCCATGACAATGTACAATAAACTTTCCTTTTCTTCAAATTTAAAATGAATTTTTAAGCTTTTATTGTTAATTCATTTGTTTTAGACAATATTTGGGGTCATGAATGAAATTCATAACTTTTTTGGTGATAATTATAAGGTTACCTACATTTATGTTTTTAATGTCTCTAGCTAATTTAAGAAGACTTACTACATTAGTTTTTGTAAACATTTTTTTTAAGAATGTTAAATAATTTAAGATAAGTTTTTTTAGCTTTCAAAAGTGTTAAATAATTTCAAGAAGATTATAATGTGCACATGAAAATGAAGTTGGAAAAGTTAACCTACTCATTACATTTTAGTTGTTTATAACTACAAAATTTATTAGTTTTACTTCTTAAAATATTTTGTTGGCTTTACTTCTTAGAAGTTAAAAGTGATGAACAACTATTGTAAGTTAATGAGAAGAAATTGTTTATAATTACAAACCTTTCTTTTGCAGAGTATAAGAGATCCAAAGATTAGAAAACTACACAATGAACATCATATTTTGAATCTGAAGTCCATTGAAGTTTTTTATTTCATTGATTTGTAAAAGTGGAAAACAGATTATTAGCACATATATTACATCTTGAGAAACATCATTACTTATTTTACAACATATAGCCATACTTTTATTCTACTTTTGTTTAATTTAATAATGTTAAGTAATTTTGGACAATAAACATATTTTCATATTTTTCATTAATAATTCTTTAGATTTTCAAAAAAAATCACAGCTAAAAAGTACATATACAAATTACAAAACATATCACAAAGAAAACTATTATAGATCATTCCTCCACAAAGACAAGTTTAGACTCTACTTGATATGAGAGAAGACGTCAGAAGACTTAAGACTACGTCAGAAGACTTAAGACTACACACGCCAGAAAACTTCCCAAAAATTCTTCTAAACGTCTTCTATAAGTCTTCCAATGTCTGACTCAGATCTGAAAAAAGCTGCTAAAACAAGATAAATTAGTAAGCAAGACATAAGAAAAAAATGAGAAATTGGTAAAAAGTTTGATGTTTTCATGTTTAAAGAGATTAAAGAGAGGTTGGAGAATTTTAGTTTGGAAAAAAAAAATAAGAGCTTTAAGCAACAAGAGATTACGAAATGGAGAAAAATCAGACATGAAAACTTACCAAAACACTCAGATCAGTTGTGAATGAGGAGAGATGGAAGAAGACTATGTCAGAAGACTTAAAACTACGTCAGAAAAATTAAGACTAGGCCATAAGACTTCCAGGAAAGTCTTAGGAACATCTTCTGAAAGTGTTCCAAAATCTGACTCAGATATGAAAAACATGCATATACAAAAATAATGATATCAAAATAGAGAAAAAAATTTAAAAATGTTTTGAGCTTAGATAATAACTAAAAAATCACATTATGTTGAATCTATAACTCAGATATGAAAAACATGTATATACAAAAACGGTTAAATGATATCAAAATAGCAAAAAAAAAAATTAAAAAAATGTTGTGAGCTTAAATAATAACTAAAAAATCACATTATGTTGAATCTATAACTTATTAGAATCTAATATAGAAAAGACACAAAATACATATCAAAAATTTATAGATCTACCTTTAAATGTGTGAAAAATGTAAACTATGTAATGAAAAACCTGCAAAACAAGATAAAATAGTGAGAAACACATAAAAATAAGAAATTGACATAATATTTGGTGTTATCAAATTCAAATAGTTTAGAGAGAGGTTAGAGAATTTTAGAGTGAGAAATATTACATTTATGTTGCCTTTATTTGAGAGGATGAAATAGAATGTGTAAATTTTTATTTATATATGAAGACAAAAATTTCAATTAGGTTAAATATTTTCGATACAAAAGAATTTCATGTAGAAGACTTACATGAAAGTCTTCCAAGAAGTCTTCTTGACCCTAAATTTACTATTCACCTATAAGACTTACTTTGAAGACTTACTATTCAACCAGAAGACTTACTATTTGCTCATCAGACTTACTATTAGCTTAGAAGACTTACTTAGCGGGGAAACCTGAATTCTTTTAAAATTTTAAGCGGGAAACTGTTGTTAAGTCATCTAGTAAGTCTTCTAGTGAATTATATCTTCGAAAATATAAGTTTTCCAAAACCCTAAAATCAAATATAGAATTAATTCACATACAAAAACTTTATTACACTTAAAATAAAATTATAAAGTGTTTAATATACATAAAACTAAGCACATATAGGTCAAATTTAGTTTTAAAAAAATATGATTCTAAAATCTAACCTTAAAAACACATACAATACTATAACATAGTTACCAAATCCTAAACAAAAAAATATCATGACTAACTTACATTCACTCATCTATGTTGAAAACAATTCAATTTTATTAAATCTTCATTCATATCACTTACATAGGTCTATAATTTGACGATTATGACTTTTCCCCTATTAAAATATCTTTGATGCAATTTATAAATTATTTTAAGAACTAATACACTAGAAGACTTAAGGAAGACTTAATTTTAGGTGGAAAACCTAAAACAATTTAACATTTTATGCGGGAAAATGTTGTTAAATCAATCCAATAAGTCTTCTAGTGCATTTATTTTCAAAATTTAAGCCTTCCAAAATCCCAGAATCAAATCTATAAATAAATTACATACAAAAACTTTATTAAATTTCAAATAAACTTATATAATTTGTTTAATATACACAAAACTAAATGCATATAGGTCAAATTTAGTTTTAAAAATAAAAATGTTAAGATTCCGTAATATAACCCTAAAAACACATACAATACTATACAACATAGTTATCAAACCATAAACCAAAAATATCATGATTAACTTACATTCATTCCTCTATCTTGAAAACTACTATACAGTTTTATTAAATCTAGATTTACATTATTTATAAATGTCAATAATTGCATGGTTGGAATTTTTACTAATAAACATTTTTTTATATAATTTATAAATTATTTTTAAGACCTGAATTTTTTTTCATTTCCAAAGTTATAATGGTAAATTATAATCTTGTTTTTTTTTACTTGGTCATGAGGGGATATTTGTAATTTCAATGTTTTTGAATTACTTTTGTATTTGATTTGAATTATAGTACACTTTTACATAATCAAGTTTTAAGTCATGTTTGGTAAATCCCCCGGCAAAGAATAATGCAAATTTTTTTTCATGTTTTCTGTCTTATTACAGAATGCCAAAAGTACTTGCCTCATTAATAGAAATTATAGCATCTCATTCATGAGTGTATTCGGATAATTATTTATCCTTACATGAAAATATATTTTTAAAGAGTATATTCTATTTTGATTTCATAATTATTGACATGAATTTTATGAATTCTCGGCATGTCTGATTTATGAAGCCGATAAGCACACTAGTGTTGTATGCATTCCGATAAGATAAGGCAATTATATATCTTTAGTGAAAAGTATATCGTCACCAAATCTTTCTGCAAAGGACATGTAGAAATTCTTACCGTTGTTCTTAAAGTCTTTTTTATGTATATGTTATTTGGAAAAACAGTTTTAAATATTTTAAAGAAAATTTTCTTTGGGTGTTTTAATACTTTTAAAATGTTTTAAGGTGATCACTATCCTTTATTTTATTGTAGTGATTTTTGTTAATAGTTGTATCGTCCAATTTGTCTCTGGTTTGTAAGGATTTGATTTCGTTGGATATATAATGGGAAATTTTCCCCAATAACCAAACAAAAAAACTTAAATTCACTAATTATTTAAAATTATTCTCTTTTTCCTATTTTCTCATTTTTATCTCTTGTGTGTAGAGTGCAATTTCTCTACTTCTTTCTATAAATCTAAAATATTATTTTTATTTGGTTAGATGGCAAAAAATCTCATATTTTATTGGATAGAACTAGAAGGGTTTGGTGTTAGTAAAAAAAAAAAAAAAAAAAAAGACACAAAACAGAGCAAAAGATATTGACCACGTCAACACGTGGCACCCTCCCCAATTACATTTTCGTATATTATCTCTCTCTCCCCCACTTGTCTTCTTCTTCTTCTCTCTACCTCCTTCCGCGTTTTATCGTCCTTCCCCATGCCCTAGCTCCACTTTCTCTCTCTCTCTCCAATTCCGTCAAAATCTCAGTTTCTGGAATCCCAACTTAATTGCGATGCCTACTTGGTGGGTGAGAAAATCCGGCAAGAACAAAGACGATTCTCACCTTCTCGACAAGAGTATCAGAAGATTCTCAACTGATAACAAAAGCATCCCTGATCCCCCCACTCCTTCCCGCTGCACCCCTCGTTGCAATCGCGAATTCGCCGGAGCTTCTTGTTTCTCCGACGAGAAGAAATGTCACCCTCTCCCTCTCCCTTCCCTCCCAACCGATCAAGTAAACGGATCCGCTTCTGTTTCCAGCGTTAGCTCATCTGACTCAGCCGAAGATCAGAGTCAACCCAGGTTCGATTCCCCCCCCCCCCCTTAGTTTCAGAGATTCCTAAATGCTTTGTAGTAATAATAAATAAGTGCGAGGAAATAGACAAAATAAATAAATAAATGAATATTACCCATAGATTGTGGTTTAATGGTTCTATAACTTATTAGGGGACATTGTGATGTGAAATCTAATGGAGCAGCAGCTTCTTCAAAGGCAGGAGGAGGAACTAGACCGACTTCTCCATTGCATAACCGAGTCCCTGGCATGAGTTTAGAGTCTTCCACTGGGAGGAATGATGATGGAAGATCCTCTGAGTATCACCCTTTGCCTCTGCCTCCTGCTTCTCCTACTAGCCCATCTGGTTTGCCGCTGGGTTCTCCTACGAGTCCTTCTGGTGTGCAAGGGTCTTGGATTGTTGGAGGGTCTGAGGCTTCTTCTTTGGGGCTTTCCAAGTGGAAAAAAGGGAAATTTATAGGGAGTGGCACCTTTGGGAAAGTCTATCAAGGGTTCAACAGGTGATAATAATGAAACTCTTTTACTTGGTTGGTTGGTTGGTAATGAAACTCTTTCACTCATTTAGATAGCCTAAATATGAACGGTAGATTCTAGATTCAGAGGCTATTAATATTGATATCTAGCCTAGATAATCTAGGTACAGATGCTATGTGATGGGTTTAGGTATGACTCTTGAGAGGTTTTACCTGTACGGTGGCTGTTGGAATAATGTTTGTGGACCGTGCTGGACATTTCTGATGGTTCCATGTCTGATAGTTTCCGTTATGCTAGCTCCATTTTACAAATATTGCGTAGCATTATCTTCTCTAAATTGATTGGTACCATCATATACTTTTTTCACCTATTCTTACAGTGAGAAAGGAAAGATTTGTGCTATCAAAGAGGTCAAGGTCATTTCTGACGACAAGAACTCAAAAGAAAGTCTGAAGCAACTAAATCAGGTCAAGACCTGATTCCGCTCAGCTCTTATTTACAAAGAACTTGAACAGTCTATTATTTGTTCACACCTCTAACCAGACTATTTGGTTTGCAGGAGATAAATGTGCTGAGGCAGCTTTGTCATCCAAATATTGTTCAGTATTACGGAAGTGAACTGGTATGTGTCAACATCTGTGACCTTCAGGAAAAAAAAAAAGAGATCATATATGCTTGTTAAGTTTGGGAAGTGTAGTATTGTTATATGGAAACCATATTAAAGCCTCGCTGGACATGTGTCTGGATATTTGTTATGGTTTGTAGAGTGAAGAAACCTTGTCCGTCTACTTAGAGTATGTGTCAGGTGGCTCAATCCATAAACTACTCGCGGAGTATGGTGCGTTCACTGAACCTGTTATCCAAAACTACACGCGGCAGATTCTCGCTGGGCTTGCCTATTTACACGGGCGGAATACAGTGCATAGGTAGTTTGGCTGTAGATGTTGAATGCAACTCCATTTGTCTCTTTTGAGATTTAATAAAGATTATTGTTAAATCCAACAGGGACATCAAAGGAGCAAATATACTAGTGGATCCGAATGGTGAAATAAAGTTGGCAGACTTTGGGATGGCCAAACATGTAAGCATAACCAAAATATGAATAAATGTTCTTTTAGTCTAGAGCTCATCACATGCAGCAGAATATTTAAACTATTTTATCTCCTTGGTCATGTATATCTTGAAAAATATGCAACAGGTCAAAGCCTATTCTACTATGCTTACTTTCACGGGGAGTCCTTATTGGATGGCACCTGAGGTATTTTCCCGTTTCTCTCACTGTCCTGGAGAAGTTCTTGGGACATTAAGTTCTTGCAGTTGATAGAAAAGCACTAAGCACCTCATGCTTCCGTTTTTTCCCAGGTTGTGATGCACAAAAATGGCTACACTCTTGCAGTCGATGTGTGGAGTTTGGGTTGTACTATTCTCGAAATGGCAACAGCTAAGCCACCTTGGAGCCAGTTTGAAGGGGTATCTGATACTGAAGACTGGACGTAATCTTTTACTCACTCATCTTTTGATTATTCTATAAGTTGTCTCGTGACGTGTCTACCAGGTTGCTGCTATTTTCAAAATCGGGAACAGCAAAGACTTGCCAGAAATACCTGATCACCTTTCAAATGATGCAAAGAATTTTATAAGACTTTGTCTGCAACGAAATCCGACAGTACGTCCTACAGCTTCTCAGCTTCTAGAACACCCTTTTCTACGTGTACACTCACCGAGAGTGGCGGCTACTACTAGCATACAAAAAGATGCCTGCTCACGTCCCTACGATGGAATCTGCGCACTGGTATGTGTATCATCCATATGCTGAGCTTGATAACTTTGATTTCATGTCAACAAGCTAAACTTGACTTTCTTCTTGAGCAGCCTACAAGGGAACCACCTTATTCAGGGAGACATCCCGTCTTTCATGCTATAAAGAGCCCAAGGTAAAAAGAAAGTCAAGTTTACGCCAATTTGATGCTTGGTTGTGCCAAACTAAATCACGGTCTTTTCGTACATTGCAGCAGAGAAAACGTAAGAGCCATTACATCCTTGCCAGTATCTCCATGTTCAAGCCCTTTACGCCAACTTGGACCGGCATACAAGAGTTCTTTCCCGTCACCTCAGCACCCGTCGTCTTACGCGTTTCGTGTGCAAGACAACCTAGCGGAGTTTCCTGGAAGCCCTTTCAGGTTCAAGAAAGACGCATTGATAGAACCATCTAGTTACAAGGCTCAAACGCCGAATTCACCCTTTAGATCAAGACTGGTGTAGAAAATTGAGATCCCTCCCATAAACTTGGGATCTCCCCTGGTTTTGGCCTTCTCCTTCTCTAGACCTTGGAACTGTAGTTGTGTGTGGGAGAGAATTAGAAGTGAGATTATTGGAACAACAAGTGGAGAGAAGTGCAAACTGGGGCAACAAAAAAAAAGAGAGATGTAAAGAGCAACATGAAATGATTACAAAGATTATAGAAGTTAAGTAAAATATAGTAAGTTGTGTTGTTATACAAATATGATATTCAGTCACTTGTTCTTAGAATCAGTCAGACTGGTGTTTGGCTTACAGTGTGAGATATTATCCACTCATGGGGATAACAAGCATCAGACATATTACTAAAATACCATAAAACGTATTACCTTTGCTGTTACAACTAGTAATTTATTCTCCTACAATACAAGAACACAATAAGTTTTAAGATATCAGAACTGATACAGTTTTGACGCCTAGATATACAAATTACATGCAAATACCTAAAATAAATCAAACCAATACCCATATCAAGGGTGTCAGCCAATATGGATTTGCTAAAAATACATATGTAAGATAAAACATAAGATATGAAATGAAGAAAGAGTAGTAGACAAAATTCTCAAAAGTCAGCTACCGTGGATTCTCTAAACCATGTGAGTGTACCGGACTATCAGGCAAATCCATATCATCCTCCTGTGACCATGACCCAACATACTGCTGCACCACAAGGACCGAGACAGTGGCTGCAAAATCTGAAGACGCAAGCAAATCTCCAATGGCACCAAGCTCAGGACACTCACTCCAATCAGTTAAACCTGCGGTGAGAGGAGACACCATCCCTTCTCCTCTTCCAACTATAAACAGATCATGAGAACTATCCATTGACCTCACTGCAGCAACAGTCTCCTCTCCATTGCTAACCACTTTGTCCACATAAAGAACTGACTCATGTTCCGCGTTCGCTGCTCTGAAGGTATTGATGTACTCATCATCAAGCTGTCTCTGCTTCTTCATGTCCACAGTCATGGAAGCAGGTTCTGCCACATCTTCATCAGGAATAAACCTTAACACAGATAAACTAATACCAGGATGCTCAGCCATTCTCCAAGCGTAAGCCAAGGCTTCTCTATCGTCAGGACCACCGAAAAACAGAACAGCAACTTGGAGAGAGATAGTGTTTGAAGTCAACCTCGTGGCACCGTTGAGTCCTCTGTCCACAAGAATCCCAACGGAGCAAGGAGAGTTTCCAAGTAAGTTCTGGTTAACTAAACGGTAAGCTGGATTGGTTGCTTCCATCCCTCCATCCACCGTTTGTTGTTTATGAAACGGTATGATTATAAAGGACACACGTTTGTCCTCTGCTAAGCTACACACGTCCTCATGCATAGTTGAGTAAGGCGAAATAGCTGTCAACGGCTGAACAGCGACAAAGGCAGCATGTTGTTCATAGTTCTCAAAGGCGTTAATGATGTGATCTGATTGAGCTTGTGTCCTGTTAAGCGCTGGTCGTCCAGATTTTCTAGTACTATGGACGATCAGCATCGCGGAGGCTCGACCAGTGAGCTCAACGAGATGTAGGACGTATATGCATATTGGAGATCTCTTTGTAGGGTGTGAAGCTTCTAGAAGGTTTATTATAGTTGGAACGTTACGTGGTGTATGGACGCATACAAGTACTCTAAGCTCACTATCTGGCTTTGTCTGTTGGATCGTTCGTCTCTTGTAAGAAACCGAACGTCTCACCGGTTTGTAAAGAACGGTTACTATAGGAGTTATGACACCAGTCATAACCAAAGCTATAAGCACCATCGTAGCAAAAGTCTCATCATCTAAAACCTTTTGGTCTTTTCCAACGTTAAGGACAATCATTTCAACGAGACCTTTTGTGTTTAATAACAAACCAATAGTTATCCCTTCACGAACCGGCATGCCATGGAAAAACGCGACAATAACAGTACCAATGACTTTTCCAGCACATGCTAGGAAGATAACAAGCATGAGAGTTAGCCACGTGGCGGGGCCTTCGATGGCAGCTACATTAGTCTTGAGACCACTTATGGCAAAGAAGAGAGGTAAGAGAAGTCCAGAGACAAAATCTTCAAGCTTCTCTATGAGGGTGAGACCAAGAGGTCCATTAGGGATCACAAGACCAAACACAAAAGCACCAAAGACTGAATGTGTTCCAATTGAATCGGTGATGAAACCAGAGATCATGACTCCTGTCAAGATGAGACATATGTAGAACTCACTAAAGTTCTCACCCTCAGGGGTTTTGCGTATGATCCAAGAAATCCCTGGCCTCACAAGGAACACACAAACGGCTATGAAAGCTGCACTAGAGATCATGACCCAAAGGGAAGCAAATGAAGTTTTCTCACTCTCGGCCAAAGCTATGGCTAAGGCTAATAGAATCCAAGCGAACATGTCGTTGACCAAGGCTGCTGACATGGAGATCCGACCAATCTCGGTGTTGATGAGTTTGAGCTCAGCAAGGATCCTTGCGAGGACAGGGAACGCGGTAACGGAGAGAGCTACACCGAGGAAGAGTATGTATGTGCCTTGTCCCAAATGGTCATCAGATCTGTGCATAGAGAAAGAGAAAGCTGCACCAATGAGGAAGGGTAAGACCATACCACCAATAGCGATGGTTATTGCTCGCTTCCCTGTCTTGCGCACGACCATAATGTCCATCTCAACACCCACTAGAAAAAGGAAGTAAAGTAAACCAACGTTAGCCATTGTTTCAAGTACCATCACACTTCTCTGAGGGAATACTGTGTTGGCGAATTTCTCGTAGCGCCCAAGCACCGATGGCCCCAGCACGATTCCTCCCTGTAAATTAAATGATAAAAATTTTAGTTTTACCAAAAAATTGATACCAATTTTCAAATTTACTTTTAAATGATTTCCATATTCATAAATACATTAAATTTACGATTGAAAGAAGATTAATAGAGGCCAACCTCACCTTTTAAATATTAAACTATAAACAATAATTAGTACACTCTAAAACCAAATGTTAAAATATTTTTGATAGAATGTATTTTTGAAAAGTTGGATTTTTAAATTAAGATCAAGAGACCAAGATATTTAATATACTACAACAATGATTAAATTATCTACGTACAAGTTTAATATTCTAAAAAAAAAGATGTAGGTTACTCACAAGGATCTCGGAGATGACACGAGGTTGGCGAAATGGTTTGAGAACAAAGACAAAGAAACGAGTGACGACAACGACCAATGTAAGCTGAAGAACAAAGAGAGGAAGAGAGAAATCGAGAGGGTTGTCGCCTTGCCAAACACCATTGGTGGTGATCATGCTTGGCGCGTAACATATTATGGAAGTGTCCGTACTGTTTTCCTCAGCCATTTTTTTTTTATATTTTTCTGCAACTTCTCTCAAATCATGCAAAATGTTCAGTGTTTATTCTGTTTAAATTATCAGGAAGACATAAATACATAGCCATATGTTGGAAAGCAAATTGATTCAAAGTTGGTGGTATTCCGTATCATCCTCTTTCCTCAACGAGTCAAACAACATAATTTCATCTCTATTTTTGGTCTTCTTCCTTTAATTAGATTCACAATTTTTTTCAGGTGTTTAGCTAACTGTTTTATATTTCTTAAATTAAATAATTATTTTTATTAATAATTTTATTTATTTCAGTATGTTTTCTTTTCTGATAACCAAAATCGAAAATGTATGCCAAAATTGGAAAATAAAGTGTAAACGTTATGGTAAACCTGTAAAAAAATTGTATATTTGTGTGTGCATGTGTGGGTGACTATGCAACTAGAATGAGATTCAGTTTTGATAATGAGATGATCATTAAAATTGTAAACTAATCTCCAAGATTGTATAGCACAAAAAAGAAGCTGAACCCATTAATGTAAGAATGTCACCTGAAAATTCACTTTGTTATTGATTTAATTAAGAATTCAGTAATATACTTTTACATGAGATTGGGGTTTTACAGAAAAGATATATTTATAAATTAACAAAAAAGTTTGTATGTGATCTTTATCATGAATTCATGATATAAAGAGTATTCAATGTGAGTTTCATAGGAAGACTTGGTGTGGCACAGTCAGACTTAAATCTTTGTAAAACAAATAGAATTTTTGGTTGTCGAATAATTGTCATTCATAATTAACCAAAATTGACAAAAAAGTATTCAAAATTTTTTATGCCAAAAATAAAGGCTAACCCATTGATATAATAATAAGATCACCTTACACCATCAGATTAAGTTTATTTTCAAATTCCTTATGTTTGTTTCTTTCCTTTTCTGATTTTTTTATTCAAGATCTAATCAATGTTTATAATATTATTTGAGCACAATATTTACTGTAATACTAGATCATGATCCGCGCACCCGCGCGAGTTTTATTTTTTAGATGTATTCTATATAATTTAGTTTTATATAGTTTTGAGTTTGTCTATTTCGATTGTATATATGTTTAAAGAACAATATCAAAACTGTTTTTTGTATTAATAAAGTCGAGAAGTGTATTACGTAAATGTAACCGTAAAGTGAAAACACTAATTATGTACGGTTATTCGAAGTGAAAAATCAAATGCAAACTTAGCTGTTTATGTTAAAAAAAAAAAATTGTGAGTTTAGTTACTTGTGATGTTAATAATTATCCAAAGTTTTTAAAGTAATATACAAGTTTCTAAAAATTTTGGCCTTAACCTTTATTTTATAGGTTAGGTCAAATTCAAACATAACTTTGGTCTTATCTTTTCAAGCTTGAAATATTTTATGATGAAAAATTTCATAAATAACTTAACAAACATTTATGTAATATGAAAGAATTTCTGTATTTAAAATATTTTTTGCGTTTAAATCAGTATTTTAAATTCAACCAAACCGCGCTTAACCGATAAAACCGGTGATCCAATATTTCAATTTTGATTTTTAAAAATATTCATAATTAAAAATCACTACAACCCAAGACTAACCGATTGAACTGATGAACTGATATGTAATATTTAAACATGAAAAATAAGTTTATTCTCGTTGTATTATATATTATTTGATTTTTTTAATTTATCTAAATAATTTGAAAGAAAATTGTGAGAAATTATTAAGAAATGGTGAGATCTAATATTTTGTATTGTTTGGACATAAGATTAATTATAGTGTTGTTTGGAAACATGAATAATAGTATAAAGAAATTAGTATATTGTTTGGAAATATATATAGTAGTATAATGAAAAGAATATTAGTGATTTAAAGTACGTTTAACTATAAAGTAGAAAGATATATATAATTTAAAAACTTACAAAATGTTAGATCCAACCTAATGTTTAATAAGATAGATTTTTACCAGATTGTCACTGAGAAAAGGTACAACTAGAACAATATGATTGAAAAAATTAGGTAAAAATATATGATAAGCAATGATTGTTTTAACATACTATATAAATATTAATTATTCAATAAATTTCAATATATGTGATATCATTTTTATAAATTCCGTACTAAATATTAAATTTATTACTATAAAGAAGATTTCTCTCCTTTTTTAGAGTGCCACGTCAGAAATTAGACCTTAACGTGACATGTGTCCACCCAGACAAAACACTGAGTTTCATTTAATCGTACTTCCAATTGATTTGGGTTTCATCTGAGTTGTGGGCCTTATCTCATATTCAATTAACCAGAGCCTGCCTAGCCTGAAAGACTACTCCTTCCAACCCGCTTCCATCAGGAAATTAGGGTTCATCCTAGCCTCCCTTCCTAACTGTTTTGCAAGCTGTTTTTTCCTGTCGGCTTGGCGATTCAGAGTTCTCTGAGATTCTATGGCGTCCGTTTGCTTTCTTCCCGTCGGTGTATCTACAAATATTAAATGGTAGGCTTTCTTCCTTTGAGAACCATCCTAATATCTCTCTAACCAGATTAATTCTCCTTCAATGGCTAACTCCAAAGTGTTTTGATCAGATTTGGAGATTTTGAATCCGGCAGTTGCTCCTCCACCATCGAAGTCAGGTTGTTTCATTTCTATGAGGTTAGGAAAGTCCGGCGCGGTGGTACACTCATGTGGATAAACATCCTCATGGTGGCTGTAAATGTAAGGATCCATTATTTACATTTTCATAATATTTTTTAGTTATAAAACTCCGGCAAACAGCTCAGTCATTCTTCCTTGGGATCTATTTTCCACCGTTTCAGGCGACCATTATGCAAGCCATCTCAAGAAATCAAAATCGTTTTTGGCAACTACTCCGGGGACGGCAGGATGTCTGTAGATTAGATGTTCGGGCTCTTCATCCAAGTTCAAGGAGAAAAACACGCAGATACAAACTTCATGAAGGATATTTTCCACTGGCTCAAACATCACGGCCTTTTTCACCGAAGGATTCTATTGTTATCTCCTCGGAGAGGTCAAGATACGTTTTTTGAAGTCGTTTTGGTTTACGTGAATCTCTTTCTATGTGATTATGGTTTTCTTTATTTATTAGTTTTTATTGGTTTACTTGAATTTGTTTCTATGTGATTATGGTTTTCAGGTTTTGGCAAGATATGAATCAGGCCTTTATCATATTACTTCTTGTACACAAGACATAACTCTTATTTGACTGGGAATCAACTCAACAGTAGAATCAGCACCGAACCTATTGTGAAAGGTCTGAGAAGTGGAGTTTGTGTCATTGAGCTTGATTTATGGCCTAACTCTTCTGGAACCAAAGCTGAAGTTCGTCATGGCGGTTCTGAATCTTAACTCATTGATTTAGTCCTTAGAGATGTCTATAAAACAGTTCTCTCCTGATTAGTTATGCTGTTTGGTTTCAGGACTTTAACAAGTACTGAAGATCTGCAGAAATGTCTTAACGCAGTACAGGAGAATGTCTTTGAGGTGTCTGATTATCCTGTTGTACTTACCTTAGAAGATCATTTGCCTCCAGATCTTCAGAAGAAAGTTGCCAAGGTAAGCTTCTGATAAATCATGGAATCTTGTGGTAGAACACTTAGCTTGGTTGATGGTGGAAATGTTTGTAGATGGTAGTAAGACTTTTGGAGGAATATGAAGAGCGTTTTCCTTCACCAGAAACACTCAAGAACAAAATTTTGATCTCAACAAACCCACCAAAAGAGTATATTCAGACCAAAGTCTCTCAAAGTGCAGCGACAGATGAATTCTTAAAAGTTAAAGTAAGAACATGGCCAGTTTTGGGCATATGAAACATTCGTCTTGAACTCTAAATTTTAAAGATACATTATACATAGGTTGCCTGGTCCCAAAAATATTTTCATGAAGATTAACTTAAAAATGTTTATGTCTCTTTAAATTTCAAATCTGACCATAACAAAATAGAGCTAAAGTAACCATACGTATTCTGTTAAATGAGTCAAGTGTTTCTTAGGGTTTTGTATCGTGACAGAAAGTTGCAGATGCAGAAGAGCTGATTCAAGATGAAAATGAGGAGTATGTAGCGACTGAATACAAAGATTTTATCTCAATTCACGCTGGTAACCGCAAAGGAGAGTTGAAGAACTCCTTGAATGGGGATCCTAACCGAGTCATACGGTTAAGCATGAGTGAGCAGTGACTAGAAACTTTGGCTAAAACTCGTGGACCCGATTTCCTAAAGTTCACGCAGAGGAATATTTTTGAGGATATTTCCCTACATGTTTTGACTCATCAAACTATGATCCCCACGTTGGATGGATTCATGGTGCTCAAATAGTCTCCTTCAATATGCAAGTAAGAGAAGTACAAATGATCTCCTCTCCACAGAAAACATATATTTAAAAAGAAAGATTAATATTTATCTATTATACCTGGTTTTGTGTAAATACATAGTCATGGGAGGTTCTTGTGGATGATGCAAGAAAAGATTATTAGCTTGATATCTGTGATGTGATGTATGGTTAGGTTAAGATCTACAATGGAGAAGAATGGTCAACTCCAAATAATTTATATTAGCTAATATTCATGCTACAACAAATTAAAGAAAGTAAAATAAGTCTCTATAAATAAATACTATTAGCATGTACAAATCATATATATCAGAGGCCACAGCTCATGTTATTTCTACTAATGCTTCACATAACCAAAATCACATTCCATTATATGTATAAAAGCACACAATTAATTAAAAAGTATAGCCAACTACAAAAATGCAAAGACAATTCAAAACACATGATCTTCAGTATAAACCTTAGTTGTCATATTAACAATCATACATGACCAAATTTTAGTAAAAAAGAACAATCATATATTATAAATTATATTTCAAATGACGACATGCTTCTGTTACCTCTTCTTAATGATCACATTTATGTAAAGCATCGTTCTTGCGTAAACAAAATTTATCACTATCAGATTAGATTCCTTCACCTCCTGTTACTTTATCAAATATCTAATATTACATAAATAATTTTATAATTAATTATATATTTTAATTCAAAAAAATTCTAACAAAAAGGTATTGTAAAACTAAATTTATTAAAAAATTATATATTTATAATCCACTAAAATATATAAAATTAAATCAAATAAAAATATTTGAATATATTTACAAGTTTGTTTCTTTTCTACTAACAACAATAAAAAACAAAATCTCACTGGTTTTTTTTGTCATCCAACCACGGAAAATCATGAGAAATCATATAAAACAATATTTAATAATTAATTTATAATTAAAACACCAATTACTAAATATAAAAAATATGTTGACCTTTTAACCAAAAATTGCATATTTTAAAAAATAATTAGTATTTATTTTTTAAGGAAATCAGAATCAATCATTCAAGTAATATGCTTTATTTAGAAAATCACATTCTAAAAATAATATAGGTATTTATTTTAAAAAGCATAACAAATTATTCAGATAATATGGTTTAATTAATCTATAAATACAATAGAATATACAAAATTTAAATAATATGTATATTTTAAAATAATAACAAACAATATTAAATATTTATTATGATTATTTAAATTATTTACTGGATGCTTCCCGCCCGTAGGACGGGTTTACCCTATTATAAATACAAAATATATAGAAAATATATTAAAAAATCGCCTAATCTCCGCTTAGACCCCGAATAATCTATCTATACGCTAATCTTTTATAGAACGTTTAGTTACCGCCTATCGATTTTTAGAACATTGCTATTATCTAAGTAAATGTTCTCATCTAACATCCATTAACTTTTTTGAAATCAGATAATATTATACTATATATGAATCCAAAAAAACTAGTATTTGAACATAAGTATGTTATGAGTCTAATACAAAATATGTAACTTATCTTATTGTGGTCCAATGGTCAATCATTCGTCCTAGTGTTATGGAGTCCATTTACTGCCGTTACAAGTCATGTGTTTAGGTGTTACATACGCATTTCATTAACACTAATTCAAAACATACCTTCTTATAACACTTACGGAATGCTAATTTATGGAATATGGAATATGGAATACATCGTTCCATATAATTCCAAAACTCTTTACCAGTTAGAACAAAAACCTTTGAAATCAGTTCCACACATTTTTACTTTAGAATGAGACTTACAAATAAATCCTCTAGAAAATCTATTACATTTGTTCCACATTAAATAGGTTCGTGTATGAATAGAATGATTAGAATTCATATTCCACTAACAATTTTAGTATATTCCATTTATCTTCATATTTATGTAGTCAATTATAATTTTGTAATTTCTAAAATTAGAGTAAACATCTGAAAGAAAACACGTTAATCACGTTAATTTCGTTGACCACACTCTATTTTAATGGTTTTACAAGTTTAATAAAGAAACTATATTTATCTTATTTGTTATATATATATATATATATTATGAGCATTGAGAACAAATATTTTAACAAGAAAGTAAATCATTTTTTTGTTATCTTTTATCATATACTGAGCCATGAAATTTTCTATTGTATTCATTGTTTCTTGTGTTGTTTTGTTGCTCGTTTTGAGCTATCCTGAAGGTATATGTTGATATTGGTTATATAACTTATAATTAGCGGAAGATAGAGATATCAACCTCATTTTCAGTTTCATGCATTATCAAAAAGAATAGTATTTAATATATAAACATTCTTTTCTTTGTTAATGAAGCGAAAGCTGCTAACCGGTGTCACAATAGAATTAGTGTTCCTGGAAATTGTGCAAAAGATGCAATACCGAGTTGCCTCAGAGAGGTCAAGAAAAAGAGTTCGAAGAACCATATTTTTGATCAGTGTAGTAAATGTGAGAACCGTCTGAAAATGACTGGTGAACAAGACCATCTATGCAATTGTAGTCACCCTTGCTAATAAAGTTATGCAGAGTTGATTATGGCATCTGATATCAAAGGGCATATGTTGTTTTTATTTTCTTATTAATATATATTGATAAATAAAATTAATAAAGCTTATTAGTTAATATTATATTTCTTTAAATAATTTAGTTTTAATACTTTGAATGCGTTAATGTTTGCATTTTGAATTTGTTTATGGAATCAAACGTTTTACAAGAATCAAAATCAGAAAACTAATTAAGCATATACAAGTATTTAATTTATTTGAAATTTGAGGATGTTTATTAAGATATATAAATTGCTTATCACACATCTATCTATACTAATAAAGTAGGGTTATCTGTCACTGTCCACGTCACTTTTTAACATAGGGGGTTTTCTCGCCACGTGTCAGCATCAGGTTGGTTACTGGTCTCACTGGTTTTTTTTCGTGTACTCACTCAAAAGTTTCACGCTTTACTTTACGCAACTCAGCTAATAAATTTCCTGATAGAAAATTTGTATCTGAATGAAAAACCCATAACACACACTGATATTATCTTTGTAGTCCATATACGGTCCACCTCTCCTTCCTAGGCGTTGTCTTCGCCATTCTCAATTATCTCTCTCTTGCCATCTCTACGACTACACTGATGCTAATTACTTTTTTTTCTTCCATCACCGCTTTGCAAATCCCTAATTTTTCAGAATATAAATAGAGGGTGAAGACCTCCAAATCTCATTGCTTCACCATATTATTTATACTGGAATCTGTGGGGACCTCTCCCATCTAGCTTTCCGATTTGAAGACAGGCCGTGCTTCTCAGACGCACGGTGGTGACGCGTCTCCTTCCTTTTTGGGAGGCACACAACATAAATAAAAAGGAGAGCTCATGGGTGTTGCCATGCTACTCACTGATGAAAAAGGTACGCCTCCTGATCTAGCCTCACATATATCCTCCTATTTTTAACTGCTCACACTGACCATGTTGGGTCGCAATATCAGTGTTCTTTATCAAGAACGACCTTATCTAGAACTTTCTTGATCTGTAGAGAAGCCTTTCATGCTATGGCATCATCGTATTGCTCGGTCTCTTTGATCTTCATTTGTAATAGTGAGTTCTTATTGTTGTTGTTGGTGTTCTGTAGATTACAGTCAGGCGATTGAAGTAGCATGAAGTAGCAGAGAAGACATAATTTTTGCTGTAGAAAACCCAGCATTCTAGGCCTTATTCACCACAAGAATCTATTGAGTGCAAGAGGTTACTGTGCTTAATGACAAGACCGACTAATTGTGTATGTGTACAAGCCAAATTTGAGCTTAGTTTCGCTTCTTGATTCATCTGAGCCTCTTCTTTATTGGACCAGGCAGATGAAAATTGCAGCAACCTCTGCTCAGGCTATAGCGTAACTCTTCAGGATCAAGACGGTTTATACACTTATCGGGAATTATCTTCCATATGACTGACTATTTGTATTCCAACTTTTTTGCGTTTTATAAAGATAGTGTTTGGTGTTATTTTGCTGGACTAGGTGACTGGTAAGCGATATGTAGAAAGGCTCAACCAAACAACGAAACAAGGTATAACAAATGGGTCTTTTTTACCTCTGGTTTACGACAATATGGTTTTGGTTTCCTTTAGTTTCAACATATAATTTTAATTTTTCATGATAGATATCTGAGAGTTGTAAAGGAGTGTAATGGAGTACATACTTAGTCTTTTATGAACATAAAATCTTTTTGCTGATAAAAGCAAACTACATCAGTTAATAAAATAAACCTCGACTTTGTAAACTTGAAGATTTAGTTGGAACTTGGATCAACCACAGGAAACCGGAAATGCAAAGTGATTGATTTGTTGGTTTGGCAAGTCCCAAGAACCATGAGCTGAATCTGGTTTGGTTAAGTGACATTGTAGGAAAATGTTTAACACTCATTTTCACAGACTGAGCATCTTCTCGACCAGTCGATCTCTCTGACCAAGCCTGAACACTTAAAATAATCATATACACTCACACCTCAGCAGGTGTTTATCACTAATAACTGAAACTCAGAGCCAAAGGTATTTAACTTCATTGAGATTTTCTTATTGTCACACTAAGAACATCCCCAACATCTTTTACGAAATATTGAAATCTTATTTTAACATCCCCAACATCTTTTACGAAATATTGAAATCTTATTTTAACATCCCCAACATCTTTTACGAAATATTGAAAATTTATTTTATTATAGATCTGAAAAGAAGTTATTTGTTTTCCTCTCTGTCTCCCAATCTGTCTCTTTTAACATAACCAACATACAAAATCTAAAA